TAATCCTTATGACGTCGCCGGCTTTGCTTCTTCTTAACATTTCCTGGTGTTGATTTTAAACCACTTCTACCTAGAAGCCTAAAGAAGATTGGGGAAAAAGGTTATGGTGGGGGTTGGGGGGTGGTTTCGTAACAAAATGTTTAGGCCGTTTGCCTCGTATTCAGCTGCTACACTTTCTTGCTCGGCTCGGATCCCGGTTCGTGTTATAACGCCATCCTAAAGCGTTATTATTTCAACTTTTCACACTCAAACATTGATCACAGTAAAAACTGCACAGAATAAAACGAGTTAAAGTAATATTCACTTGGCACTGAAAGAGTTAGACACCCGTTTCAATGGAATATCTAGTCATATAGTCATGAACTAAGCAGTGTCTGGCTAGACTAGACGTGATTCGCGAGTTTTCGTGGTTCTTCAGTAGGATGCTATCCGCGTTTGCATGCAAAGACGGGATTTGGCGGATTGTGCGGATGAACCCTCTTGTAGTTCAACGGGCAAGAAGGCGATTACCATCAGGCTCTGTAGAGAGCTTTGAGCAAGGCAGGACAGTTACAAGTTTTTTTTTTTTCATACACTGCACCTAGGTCCATTTTCGATCGTCTCGACATTATCCTGCTATTGGATCAAGATGGACACAGGCGAGAGAGTGAGGTCGACGAATTGCGCAACTCTTCCCCACTTAAATCTAAGTCATTGCACAAGTCACTTTCATCTAGTTCGAACGACAACAACAACATCCTGCTTTGGGAAGAGACACGTTTAAATCTTACAGGGCTTTTCAGAGATCCTGCCCTTACACTGTAACAAGTGTCTCAAAAACTGTTGGGAGACACTGGAAGAGAGGTTTATAGACATATGGCTGGCCCTGATTCTAATTAACCATCTAACAAGAAGGGACCAGGCCACAATCTTTAGACTCAGAACACAACATACTCCACTCAGTGTACATGTCAACAGAATGCAGCCACAACACTCCCCCAGAGTGCCAGCTATGTAACTTCACCTACGAAACTGTTAAATACCATCTCTTTGAATGCCCAAAACTCAACGAGACTAGAAGAATGCTACTCTCTTCGAGATCAGACAAGTGGAACACCTTGTACGAAATCATGCAAATTCCACTACATGGCATTGGGCCAAAGGGCGAAAGCTCATGCGCCGCTGGATCGATAACAACAACAGCTCAAAAACTCGTGTACGGATCAATACGGATTTTTACATGTTGCCTTATATTTCCCATATGCTAATGATTTTATCATAAACACCGCCATGAGGAAATTCCCCAGAGCGCCGCCAACGCTATATTGTAAGCAGGCTTAGCTTATTCTTCCGTTCAAGTCAATAACCGAAGTTCAAAGTCGACAAGGTAAGACTCGCGATAATATGCACGAGTCTTCAGCCCCCACAGTAGCCTCTGGCCAGCCCGCTGCAAAGTCAAAAGCTAGTTACGTATCCTTTACAGGACGTTGTAGAACCAACCAAGCATTGTTTGGCTGGTGTGGTTTTTCTAGGCAAATTTTACGTTAAGTAGTTTGCCAATGCTTCCAGCACGGTCATCTCTCGTCCGCTCTAACGACAGGTACGAAATGGAAAGTCGAAGATGCGATATTATCTGCTTAGAAAGCACTAAAATTGAGCGATATCATGGGTTACACACAAACAGACCGACGCGGTCTGAGGCAAGGAAAACTCACATCGTGGTCCTCAGCCAAAGAGCATAGAGACATGGTAACACCACAAATTAGGGACTCCAAAAACGAGATTCGAGTCCAAAAAGCTGCCCAGCAATCGTAGCAAGGCCATTGAATTGGCATCGAGAGCACCTTGCCACGAACACTCATATGGGGTAATATCTGGCGAATGGCCCCGCTGCGGCTGAGCTTTGTTATATGATAAGCTTAGGATGTGTTACTCTCTGGCGTCAACATGGCCAAATGGCGTGCGAACACCGACATGTCCCCTATACAGAGCTAAGCATACCCCCGAGAACGTATTGTCGCGTACGCTTCATCGATACTTTTCTGTGCAAGGGACTGGTTACTGGCGGTCGACCTGCCTGGTTCCGAAAAATATGCCAAATCAGTACGAAAAGACTGACCTTAAAAGACAAAATCATATGTTTTCTTTGTGTCGGCTCCGCGGCTAACAGTATGTCGTGCGTGTTAAAGAATTTTCGCTAGTAAATTTGCTTTTTCTTTATATTTGTCTTCTCCTTGTAATTTATTTTACCATGACTACTCCATGTAAAACAGGATAAGATAAACTATCATTGCAAGAGAGCATGTGACAGGGGCTGGGCTGACTAAGGATTGCCGAATGAATGCGTTCAGGATGTCAAATTTAGAATAATCCATCATAAGTGACGGCGATTCATCCTAAACGTCACTGAGATGGCCTGTTAGAAGCAGAAACTGGCTTGTTGTGGTTCCAGCGTGTGTCTTGTCTTAACTTGTTGCTCCTGCACCTTGCCTTGTCCAGATGAACGATAGCAGTTAGCAGAAAGTCAGTTTGTGCTCTTCTTGTACGGAAGTTTAAATTGATCCGATCTTTTTTTTTTTTTTTTTGCATTTGCCGTCAAGAAAAATTGGTTGGTGGTGGTGGGGGGGGGGGGGAGGGGGTGGTTAATGGGCAGAAATGATGTGTTGTGGTTTACAATTAGGCTGCGATATCTGCGCCTGTTAGCCCAACTCATGCGAATTTAAACAAGTCCCTATTAACTCGTCTCTCATGTTATGCATGTTTGGAGGGCAATGCCTGCATGTCTGTTATTATCTCCACGAATATGGCGACCTGGTAATCATACTTGGAGGTTAGGATTTTAATTTCGCCACCGACGTAATAAAATATACAAATTAAAAACACACCACATATATTTACCGACAATTCAAGCCCCTATACTACCACACTCACATACACACATGCTTTATTTTTAGTATATTCCCCCAGATAAGGCTACTATTTATATTCTTAGTCGCTCCTCTTTTGCCGTGGGGTGAAGAGGTTTGCCATAACGATCGCCAGACATCCCAATCAGTAGTTTTCCTTCTGTTTTGTTCCATTCCATTCCTCAGTCAGTTTGGGACTGTCGGATGTTGTCTTTCCAGCTGACCCTGGGTTGTCCTGGAGGTCTGGTTCCCTGGTTCTTAGCCTCCCATGTCTGCCATGGTAGCCGATTTTCTCCCATTCTGCATACATGTCCAAATTATCGTAACTGTGCCTGATCCCCTCGGGTTTGTAAGAACTGGGAATTAAGATCTTGACGTATTGTCTGATTGTAAACACTTGGAACCACCGTTGTTAGATATCTCATTTCTGAGTCTTGTATGTGGCTTCTGTTGTCATTGCCCATGACTCACACCTATAGGTCAGGACTGGCACCTAGTTAGAGTGGTAAACATTTTCGTCCTCTTGCCAATTTCTCTTTTGCTAAGAAACCCTACGTTTATGGCCTGGAAGATTCTCCCAGCAGCTGCTTTTCGTATAGCTTGCTCAGTTCTAATGCTTCCGTTTCGGTCTTTTACAACTCCAAGGTATTTGAACTGGTTGATCTGCTCCAGTGTAAACTGTCCTATCCTGATATGGTGATTTTCCTCCTCTCTTGAGATCCCAATGGTTTGTTTTTTACTTTTTATTATCCATTATTTATCTTGGTATGCCTCATAACTTGTATGCTTCGTGGTAGTTAGCTAGGCATTTTGTCATTGATTATTCTCGTCAGACTATCTTTTCGGACTAGCATGAATATAATAGCAGAGCCGAGCCGAATGCGGAACATTTAACTATAGGAACATGTCATTATTCACATCTGTATTATTCAACGGGATTTATATTTAAATACACGAGCAGCGTCTACTAATATGAGAATATAACATAGCATTATTCGAAATGCAAGCATATATCGCATAGATACTGCCGGGGTGTCTATTGTACATCCCATAATTACCCGCATGGCTTCATTCTGTGTGCGTTGAAGTTTCATCAGCTGATGCTTGTGGGTTTATCCCCTAGACAAGTTATAGGGGGGGGGGGTGGGGGGGGATCCTGAGTCTTTACTCCCAGACCTCAGAAATCTGCTGCGCTGATGGGACAATCGGGCAAGTCGTTATGATGATTGCAACAGGTACCATGGTGACATATCGTCGCTGTAGTAGCAAATTAAGCGCCTACCTGTACGACCGGAGTCTTGTTCGTTTGCCTTCGGCACTTCCGGTCAATTTAGTGGCTCATACCTGTTATCGAGAGGATCATTTCTTTTCCTGTCGGAGTACATGGTCAGCTGATGCGACGCCAGCCTCTCTCAACCGACAACAAGAGACCCTGATTTCGGGGAAACTAGAGCGAGTCTCTAAAGATCTTTACCGTTCGATCTTGGTTCTTCTTATGTTCCGACAGAAACGCTCAGCGCGACAGAGGGCACTATATTTGCTCCAAAAATGCAACCAGACCTTATGCAGTCCAACCCGTTCGCTGCTTGTAGCGGCTTTGAATCGTTTTCGTAGTGCATTTTGGCCTGCCCTGCACTTCTCAATATCTCTCTGGCTCCCGCTTTTCTCATGTGAGACGCCCAGCTTCGTCTTCTCTACTGTCCTGAACTGACGGGCACAGTGAGCTTAAGTTGTGTTACCAAACCGCTTTAACCATCTAGGGACCATTTCTTGAATACAAATCAATATACTCACATAAAGCATCTTCAAGCTTGAACTATGAGACACTGTCACATGCAGGTGGAAATTTGATCTTCGTCCACACGGCATCAGAAAGAGGCGGGATATCATGAATTTAACTTAAGACGAAAACTTGGTTAACATGAATAGAATGTTGCTCCCAGATCAGACGCAGAACTGATTGTAGTCCCGATAAGCACGAGTATTTTATTGGTGCTGTTGTTGTAAATGCAAACTCGATTTTCTGTCTTGAAATTCGCTTTAAGAATTTCTGAACTTTGACTTGAATGTGTGGTCTACGTGTATTTTGATTTTATTTTGGCTATCTATTTGCAGCCCCAGAATTACATCCATGCCTAAGGGACGAAAACCACACTGAAGGCTCTAAAATGGATCAAGCGATGATTGGTTGGCAGGTGAGGAATTAAGTTGATGGTTGGATTTATGCTTGTATTAACAAATTAAATTAATAGATTACTTGCTAGAGACGTCTTCTCTTTATTTATTACGTATCCGATTAAGAATTATGTCAGAGCTGGAACTAAATGAAAAGGTAAAGTTCTAAGTTAAGATTACTCTTTTGGTTTTTTCAACGGATCAACAGCATGGCACACAGGTGTAGCTCATAAGTGATCCCTTCTTCTTCCAACTCAAGGCTGAGTCCGAAGAATCTCAGCACAGTGCACGAACTCTGTTGCACCGGCGAGGATCCTGAAATATTTAAGATTACTGAAAATTACGATTGTTTAATTAATTAAACATGTTAACATATAGATTCAAATGTTATGGCAACAAGCGTTACCTTTGCTTCCTAGTTGACAGAGTAGGTTGAGAAGGGCGATCACGATGCATAAGAAGCATATGTCCCTACAATACAAAATCAGCGTTGTGCTACGAAGAGCAGGAATGTCATTAATGGCCATCATCGGTCTCGCCTTGACGCTGTGTTTCTCGTGCCTGGGTACAGCAAAATGAAATACTATAGTCTAATAACGGAAAGCGCAAATAATAGCAATAAGGGCCATGGCTTGGAAAGTGGCTAGCACTGAGCCTTGAAACATCCTTGTGTAATGGAATCAAACATCATCTTTTTTTACTACGTCCTTCTATATGCACAAGTTTGTAATTATATTTTAATCTCTCCAATATGTGTGTTTATGTGTGTGCATCTGAAGTTTTTAGCATCTGAAACAGATGGGACCATATGAGGTTCACTGTAGCTACGAGACCTTGGAGTCTGAGGCGTATTCCATAATAGGCCTAAATGACCCAGTGTAGTCTTTTCTTAAAGTTTTCATACCAGTGTGCCAGTATATCCATTCAGGTGTTTTTCCACGATAGTATTTGCATGGTTTTTGAGCCCCCCCCCCCCCACCCCCCTTCCTTTTGAGTTTAGTGTGCATGTTAAATTGATGTCTAGAATAACTCCAAGACAGGCGTCTGGATGTGCGGTATTGGTTGATTTTCTATCTCACCTACTCCCCCTCGTCCTTTCTCTTTGTGCGTAGAGAGAATGTTTTGTTGCTGTTAGTTTTGTTTGCTTTGTTTTTAGTCTTAACCCAGTTCTCTACTTTTGTCACTGACATTTGAAGTTGATAGCAGGCTGTTGCGGTATCATCTAAGGCTGTTCAACAACAGTCATCTACATGTTGGCAGCTGGAGATTTCTGGTGACAACATTTAGTTATACCACTAATGTAAATTAAGAAGAGACTTGGTACCATTATGCTGCTCTGAGAGACTCCCTTTTTTTTTTCAACTGTACTGACCTGATGTTTTAACATTAGTAAATCGTTGGTACGGGACGTCAGTGTTAAATAACCAAATGTAATTGACAAGCATAATTTTCCAGTATCGAAATGGATGGAGAGATAATATCCAGACAGACCTGCAAACACTTGGTGTTCCCAACTGGAAAGAGAAGGCTAACCAGAGAGATGAATGGAGGCAGGTGAAATCTGCAGCAATGAACCTCAATGGATCGGAATGCTGAAGCATAAGAAGAAGAAGAAGAAGAAGAAGAAGAAGAAGAAGAAGAAGAAGAAGAAGAAGAAGAAGAAGAAGAAGAAGAAGAAGAAGAAGAAGAAGAAGAGGAAGAAGAAGAAGAAGAAGAAGAAGAAATAGAAGGGAAAACACGACATATCCCAATTATAACATGCCAGTTAACAGGGTATCTATTGTTTTAAACGATTATTGCTATAGGAAGTTTCCTACCCAAGAGCACATGTTGCGATATCTTCTCCTATAGTTTAAGGTTAGGCCCTCCTTCTACGGATTATCCAAAGTATGAGAACATGTTGAATGTTGAATTAGCACTCAGAACACTCCTATAAGCGCGCCGTTCCCATCTTCAGCAGCAAGCGAAGAATTGTAGTTCCTATAGTACCAGTAACTAGTATGGGTAAAGTAGTATTAAAAACAAAAGAGGGGGGGGGGGGTGGGGGCGAAAACCGAGAATAGCATTTTTATTATTATTGTGTTTAAAGTAGTCTTAATGAAAAGGATGGACCTGCTTGGTTATAGCTTATAATATTTTTGTTTAATTTGATTAAATTATCATCCGTTGAAACGGTAACACAACATAGAAACAGGTGCACAAAGGTAACTGAAATGTTCTTCTCTCTTCTACTTCCCCCTCCCCCACTTCCACAACTGCCTTATTTTCTATTAAATGTCACCAACGACACCCGAGGCTACTACGGCCCCTCCCCCTTTTCCCCTGGCAACGAGACAATTCGAACCCCCCCCCCCCACCCCAAGCCCCTTTCCCAGTTTCACACAGGTAACAATCTCCCACTCTATTGATCTGTCCTTTCCCATGAGGTGCTACAACAATCGTATGTCACAGAAGCTTCCAAGTTTTGTTCATCTTTATGTCAATTATTTTTATTACTGTTATTATTATTATTAATAATTATTAATTTTTTTGCAATGATTATTAAGCCTATGGTTTTTATGGAGGGATAATTAGACAGAACGGTTTAGAACTCGCACCTTTCATTCTGAAGACCTAGGTCCTGTTTATAGTGACATTTTTATTTTTGTGGGCACAAATATAAAAATCTAAAACCTACACAGTTCGTGGCCAGCGCCCAAACCGTGCCATCCTTAGTTTTCTCAGGTTTATGACTCCACCCCCCCCCCCGCCCTCACCCGTCCGCACAACCACCCCATTTCTCCTGCTCTACACAGTTGTAAGCAAAGGCCGTAAAGAGTTTTATTATTGTGCAACTTCAATACAAATCTAGATAACACTAAACCTGTTATTTCTCACGGGAAAAGATGTTTGGAAAGAAAAGTTCTTTGCCTGCCTTTTACAAGACGTTGCAGTAAAAACCAGTGTTTGTCGGCGGTTTGTGATTTCATTAGGCGATTTTACTTTCAGTAATTTGCCATTGTCAAAACCCATACACGGTGGACTGTGCAAGATCACCCGCAGCAAGAATCGAAGCCGGCACTACTGAAATACGAAGCGAGTTCGCAACAACAAAGCTACAGATGGCTTATAGCAACGTAAAGGTGTTTATTCAATGTAAATAATCTTACCTGTTCAGCAAACTACTTTAGAAAACACAGTTAATAACATTACTACGAAAAAGCAATCATATGAACAAACAAGAATGCCTTCGGGGGAAAACGTGTTAATGTATAATTACAGTTGAAAGTGTTAATTATTTATAACAGTTCTTCTACTTTGTGTTAGAAGCGAAAGTCGTACTTACAAAAATCGGTTTGTTTTCCCAAGTACATGAAAAAAATGTATGGTAAGTATTCAATGTTCAGCTTACGGTGTTTTAGTAAAATCGACTTCACGAATGTACATATGTCCTGTATGTTGTCAGTCCATAAATATGTGGTAGCAAAATAAGCAGACGCTTGCTTGTCAGTCGGCAGATGTTAATTTTCTTCTTCTTCTTCTTAGGATTCACCAGCTGTAAATTCCGGCGAAAATGTTTGGTTTTCAGCCCATTTCTAGACTTGTGCCTTTTTCCAGAATTTGAGTTTTACGCGCACATTCGTTTTACAGATCTGGCCTAATATATATGCAGACTATTGGTTCCTTGCCTCTGAGGCAGATGCACTCCGACTTCGAAGACAATATCTAATTAGTCTACTTTTGCAACATGCTTTTTAGGGCACAGTGGGTGTATTCTTACTGTTTCACTAACAGCGGGTTCCTCGGAATCCACATAGGAAAACCCAAAGGGGTTGAATGCGAATCCTCAAAAAGAATGAATTTGTTAAAAGGTGTTGGATCTGAGCTCGTGGATCGACCCAGTCAAAGATGGGCACCAGAAAATATTCAGGAAAGTACAAATGGCCACACTGATTTTGACCAAACGATCTAGTGAATGTCGACTGTTTACAAATGGTAATTTAGCACCGTATACCTGATGAGCTGCTGGGATCAAAATGGTCCTTCACTTTTACTTCTTCTTGTTCTCCTCTAGTCCTGTCGGTTGTGAGTCTTGGTGTGTGCTGCGTAGATGCTTGTATTTAAGGCCTCGAATATTCCATCTATCCATAGCTTGCGTGGTCAACCTGTTGCCCTACTTCCATTATGTCTAAGTGACTGGGTTCTCTACAGTACACAACCTGGTGGTAGTCTTGGCACATCTTCGAAAAATTTGATCTGTTTTTGTCATCATGTAGTCTTCTATTTTTTTTTATTAACTTAAATTTCAGTCCATGAAGCCAACACGAAAAAGAAACACAATCTTGAAAAAATCGATCGAAAAGCTGCGCAGCTCCTTGGACTGCTGTCACTTATCCAAACAATGCTGCTGCAGCAATTTGAGGAGTCTATTTCCCTTCACGAAGATTCTCAATGGTTACAGTGGCCTCTATGACCTCCCCTGTGACATCATTGCGGGCCTGACTGTTGGGATCATGCATATTCCACAAGGTTGGTTTGTTATGTTGTTGTTACTGTTCACTGCATCCGTATGAACTCATTTTTCATTTACTTCATGTGTTCCTTTCTTTCTCTAAGTTATGTGTATAAGTGAGTGCGTCTGCGCGAGTTTGTCTCTCTCCTACCTTTTCTCACGACTTTCGGCATAATGAGAATATATGGCTATAGCTTTAATGTACAGACCAATCAGCACTGGGTCATACACCACGCTGCCAGTCTTTATTTCCAAGGTCTTCAACCTGTACACATTTAAGGCTGGGTCGACCCAGGAACCAAGATCCTTTTCTTTTAAAACGGACCTGAACCCGCGACCTTCAGATCCGCAGACGAGCGTCCAGTTGCTACACCACGATGGCTTCCTTAATACGAGCATTTTGCCCCCTACAGTTTAATTACAAGTAAAATATTCAGCCTTCAGCGAGGTTATAACTGGGGAAGCCGCAGCAGCTACACCAGATTGGTGCCAACCGCGGCCATGTGCTGGTAAGGATGGGATGCACAGGGTGGTTGTAAAGTCTCACTACACTTTGTATGTAGAACAAATTTAAAACAAACCACATAACGTCAAGAGATGTGCTCCACGGTGAAACGTGAAACAAAATGCAGTTAATGGATGTCATCTGTTGGAGTAGTTGTTTGTACTCAAAACAGACTGGTGTTATCGACCGAAGAAAGAATGATTTGTTCGAACAATTGTTTCGAAATGGCGGTTGATACACACGAATAATCAGTTATTCAAAGATTTATAGCATGTCTTGAAACCAATAGTGGACATCTGTTATTATGAATATTTCACGAGCAATTTCCAGATTCCCCTCAATTGCATTAGACCACTGCAGTGAATATCTTAACTAATTTATTAACTTTTAAGGACGCCATATACTTGAGCTTTTCAAATTTGTCCCGCATAATAAAGGTAGTGCAACTTTACAAACACCCTTCGAAAAAAAAAAAAAAAAAAAGGCGAGCGGCTTTGTTGGCTTTAAAAACACAAGTAGCCGGAATCTTCCCGACGGACACAAGAAACATTCTCAAGATCATCTGTGACTGAGGACCACAAGACACATTCTCAAGATCATCTGTGACTGAGGACCACAAGACACATTCTCAAGACCATCTGTGACTGAAGATCGCGAATCTCCCTTTTTGTTTGCGCCACTACGGAATTCATATTTACATCTCCAACCAGAGAAATCATTAAAATTTTTTTTGAAACATGATAGTTGATAAAGTAACACGTTCTCTGTTGATTCACAGGTATGGCATATGCACTCCTAGCCCAGCTTCCGCCAGTCTACGGCTTGTATACATCTTTCTTTCCCGTCCTTGTCTACTTCCTGTTTGGAACGTCAAAGCACATCTCTGTTGGTGAGTGATCTGTTTAGAGATCTTCTGCCGTAGAGCCTTAGTGGGCATTCTAGCACATGTTTTGTTAATCACGTACTGTTTCTAAGATTCTATAGGTTATTAATTAAGTACTGTTTCTAAGATTCTATAGGTTATTAATTAAGTACTGTTTCTAAGATTCTATAGGTTATTAATTAAGTACTGTTTCTAAGATTCTATAGGTTATTAATTAAGTACTGTCTCTAAGATTCTATAGGTTATTAATTAAGTACTGTTTCTAAGATTCTATAGGTTATTAATTAAGTACTGTTTCTAAGATTCTATAGGTTAATAATTAAGTACTGTTTCTAAGATTCTATAGGTTATTAATTAAGTACTGTTTCTAAGATTCTATAGGTTAATAATTAAGTACTGTTTCTAAGATTCTATAGGTTATTATTTAAGTACTGTTTCTAAGATTCTATAGGTTATTAATTAAGTACTGTTTCTAAGATTCTATAGATTATTATTTAAGTACTGTTTCTAAGATTCTATAGGTTATTAATTAAGTACTGTTTCTAAGATTCTATAGGTTATTAATTAAGTACTGTTTCTAAGATTCTATAGGTTATTATTTAAGTACTGTTTCTAAGATTCTATAGGCTATTAATTAAGTACTGTTTCTAAGATTCTTTAGGTTATTAATTAAGTACTGTTTCTAAGATTCTATAGGTTATTAATTAAGTACTGTTTCTAAGATTCTATAGGTTATTAATTAAGTACTGTTTCTAAGATTCTATAGGTTATTAATTAAGTACTGTTTCTAAGATTCTATAGGTTATTATTTAAGTACTGTTTCTAAGATTCTATAGGTTACTAATCTAATGCTTATGATGACAACAAAGATCCTGAAATCCCATGCTCTCACTGTAGAAGACTTTTCTTGGCGCAGGCGGATCTTGTTGGTCACACCTGCCATCGCCCAGGCTGTTATTTCGATACCTTCCGATAACACAATATAACACTGTCTTCTGGAAAGACGGAAAGATGCCAACAACAACACACCAAAACACCCAGTCGGTTTTGCCAGCCGAAAGCCTCAAATGTAGCTAAAATGCAATTAACAAGGCACTACAAACTTACGTACTTCAACGATCGAAGAATAAGAGGAATAAATATCCAGAAAAGTTAAAGGAAAGAAGAAAGAGAAGCAATAAATGTTATGGTAGACGACAATGAACAGTTTGCTATTAAGGCACGGAAAAACCTATGTGTTTGAAATGCTGACAGCACATAAGACGGAAGGTTGCGGACGTTTATGACTTCTTTTTCTTCTCTTCCACTTTTTACCTCATCGAAGTGTCGGGGGGAGATAAAATGTTCGTTGATGAGCTCTGTCAAGAGCACTATTAAGACTGATGTTCATTTCTGTAAGGCTGTTCTTAATGCCATCACTCCATATTTTCCAAGGTCTTCCACTCGCTCTATACCCGTTGTAACGTTTTAGTATGGCTCGCTGTGACAGATAGTGCCAGGGCATTCTTGTTAAGTGTCCAACCACTTCATTTGTTGTTCTTTGATGACCTGTAAGGCTGGCTTTATTCCTAGCATTCGTCTGATTTCATGATTTCGTATTCTGTCTTTCCTTGAAACTCCTGCAGCTCTTCTAAGGCATTTTATGTTTATGACTACAGATATTATAAAGGAATGACTCTGACAAGAAGAATTTATTTACTAGAAAATTAAATTAGGATCGATTGGACAAGCCAACATGTTCAAATAGCTAGTAATAGCAAGGAAGATAAGTTTTAAAGAAACATATGCATTAGCCCAGTCCAAACAGTCAGTATTTTTTTTAGAATAACGATTATTCTATGAGCTACTGGTAATCATTTTCTTGTTGTCAGCTATGTAGAGCTAGCTATTCGTGAGATGAATTACTGACAGTCAGTAGATTTGTGAATAATTATAGAGAATCCTCCCTCTTGGGGTTCTGGAACACCACATTTTGGGAAAGGGGAGAAGTGACACACTATAGACATGTCACAACAGGTGACTCAGGAGGTTGCTGACATCTGAGGTGTTTTGGCCGACAGAAGCAGATATGGCAGTCTAGCTGTAAACCAGGCCCGGCTCTCTAGCGAAATTGGCTAAACCGGATTTCGCAGAGACCGGGTGACGTACTCCTTGTGGTCCGGGTTCAATTCCGGGGGTAGGCAGGAAAGCCACATTTTCTCCCAGATTGACGGTATTTACAATGGAATCAAGGCCGAAAGGTTGCGATATCCATAATACCGAGCCTAAGGGTTAACAACTCATGGCTTCTGGATACTAAAACAAACAAACAAACAATCTGTAAACCAGAGCACATTGTGCCAGATTAAAGGGTAGAGAAGGAAAAAGAATTAGAAGAAAAAGAATATTTAGAAGAATAGGAAGAAAGAAGAAAAGTAAGAAGAAGAAGAAGAAGAAGCAGAAGAAGAAGAAGAAGAAGAAGAAGAAGAAGAAGAAGAAGAAGAAGAAGAAGAAGAAGAAGAAGAAGAAGAAGAAGAAGAAGAAGAAGAAGAAGAAGAAAAAGAAGAAAAAGAAGAAGAAGAAGAAGAAGAAGGATTGGGGGAGATGGAGGGGGGAGAAGAAAGAGAAAATCCAGTCTTCTACATTTTAATTTACTTTTTTTTAAAGCGGTTTGCTTAACTGAACTCTGTGGTTATCTCCAGTGACCTCGTCTTTTCATGTTTTCCTTGTCTGAAGCAGACTGTGCGCAAAAAAAAACAATCTTTACAGATCGCCTTAGCCTAAAGCAGGTATCAGTGAATCCCTGGTAAAAATAGAAAGACAGTCAATGTTACGTTTACCCCCACGATACTACACCATGTCATAGCTTTTAACGACCTGACAACATCTAGAACTGGCCCTAACCCCAACCCCTCTACACTACAGCCTTACCCTACGTCAAACGAGAGAGTGCAAACTACGTCCTGTAGTTTTAGAATTGTTAACATTTTACATGAGGCCCTAAAAAAGCCGTCTTGCTGAACTAAATTAATGTGGTACTCAAGTCCGATAAGGCTATAATATACGCAATGTCGCCGACCGCTCGCAGCTTAAACAACAAGTAAAATACACACACAAAATATAAAGCTCAGAGCATCGAACACAACACACCGTGACACCCCTGTAACTTTGACTAGCGCGTATGAAAGGTCAGCGAGCAAGAACGAATGGCCAATCACGTTTTGTTTGGGGCGAAAAACCTAAGAAGTTCAGGAAATTTCCATCTCTTACCGGGAAACGAACCTGAACAGTTGTTGGTATTTTACGCGACATAAAGTCTTCATAAGACAATGAAACCATAAAAGTGAAGGTAGCTGAAGAGAACTACAGTATGGAGTTAAGCAAATATCTTGAAAAATGTAAATAACTGGTTTACATATTTTTGGCTTCTCATATCTTCTCATCCACCTCCTCTTTCTCCTCCTCCTCCTCTATTTTTTTTTTCTTCTTCTTCTTCTTCTTCTTCTTCTTCTTCTTCTTCTTCTTCTTCTTCTTCTTCTTCTTCTTCTTCTTCTTCTTCTTCTTCTTCTTCTTCTTCTTCTTCTTCTTCTTCTTCTTCTTCTTCTTCTTCTTCTTCTTCTTCTTCTTCTTCTTTCTTCTTCTCTTCTTCTTCTTCTTCTTCTTCTTCTTCCTTCTTCTTCTTCTTCTTTCTTCTTCTTCTTCTTCTTCTTCTTCTTCTTCTTCTTCTTCTTCTTCTTCTTCTTCTTCTTCTTCTTTCTTCTTCTTCTTCTTCTTCTTCTTCTTCTTCTTCTTCTTCTTCTTCTTCTCTCTTCTTCTTCTTCTTCTTCTTCTTCTTCTTCTTCTTCTTCTTCTTCTTCTTCTTCTTCTTCTTCTTCTTCTTCTTCTTCTTCTTCTTCTTCTTCTTCTTCTTCTTCTTCTTCTTCTTCTTCTTCTTCTTCTTCTTCTTCTTCTTCTTCTTCTTCTTCTTCTTCTTCTTCTTCTCTTCTTCTTCTTCTTCTTCTTCTTCTTCTTCTTCTTCTTCTTCTTCTTCTTCTTCTTCTTCTTCTTCTTCTTCTTTCTTCTTCTTCTTCTTCTTCTTCTTCTTCTTCTTCTTCTTCTTCTTCTTCTTCTTCTTCTTCTTCTTTCTTCTTCTTCTCTTCTTCCTTCTTCTTCTTCTTTCTTCTTCTTCTTCTTCTTCTTCTTCTTCTTCTTCTTCTTCTCTTCTTCTTCTTCTTCTTCTTCTTCTTCTTCTTCTTCTTCTTCTTCTTCTTCTTCTTCTTCTTCTTCTTCTTCTTCTTCTTCTTCTTCTTCTTCTTCTTCTTCTTCTTCTTCTTCTTCTTCCTTTCTTCTTCTTCTTCTTCTTCTTCTTCTTCTTCTTCTTCTTCTTCTTCTTCTTCTTCTTCTTCTTCTTCTTCTTCTTCTTCTTCTTCTTCTTCTTCTTCTTTCTTCTTCTTCTTCTTCTTCTTCTTCTTCTTCTTCTTCTTCTTCTTCCTTTCTTTCTTCTTCTTCTTCTTCTTCTTCTTCTTCTTCTTCTTCTTCTTCTTCTTCTTTCTTCTTCTTCTTCTCTTCTTCTTCTTCTTCTTCTTCTTCTTCTTCTTCTTCTTCTTCTTCTTCTTCTTCTTCTTCTTCTTCTTCTTCTTCTTCTTCTTCTTCTTCTTCTTCTTCTTCTTCTTCTTCTTCTTCTTCTTCTTTCTTCTTCTTCTTCTTCTTCTTCTTCTTCTTCTTCTTCTTCTTCTTCTTCTTCTTCTTCTTCTTCTTCTTCTTCTTCTCTTCTTCTTCTTCTTCTTCTTCTTCTTCTTCTTCTGTCTTCTTCTTCTTCTTCTTCTCTTCTTCTTCTTCTTCTTCTTCTTCTTCTTCTCTTCTTCTTCTTCTTCTTCTTCTTCTTCTTCTTCCTTCTTCTTCTTCTTCTTCTTCTTCTTCTTCTTCTTCTTCTTCTTCTTCTTCTTCTTCTTCTTCTTCTTCTTCTTCTTCTTCTTCTTCTTCTTCTTCTTCTTCTTCTTCTTCTTCTTCTTCTTCTCCTTCTTCTTCTTTCTTCTTCTTCTTTCTTCTTCTTCTTTCTTCTTCTTCTTCTTTCTTCTTCTTCTTCTTCTTCTTCTTCTTCTTCTTCTTCTTCTTCTTCTTCTTCTTCTTCCTTCTTCTTCTTCTTCTTCTTCTTCTTCTTCTTCTTCTTCTTCTTCTTCTTCTTCTTCTTCTTCTTCTTCTTCTTCTTCTTCTTCTTCTTCTTCTTCTTTCTTCTTCTTCTTCTTCTTCTTCTTCTTCTTCTTCTTCTTCTTCTTCTTCTTCTTCTTCTTCTTCTTCTTCTTCTTCTTCTTCTTCTTCTTTCTTCTTCTTCTTCTTCTTCTTCTCTTTCTTCTTCTTCTTCTTCTTCTTCTTCTTCTTCTTCTTCTTCTTCTTCTTCTTCTTCTTCTTCTTCTTTCTTCTTCTTCTCTTCTTCTTCTTCTTCTTCTTCTTCTTCTTCTTCTTCTTCTTCTTCTTCTTCTTCTTCTTCTTCTTCTTCTTCTTCTTCTTCTTCTTCTTCTTCTTCTTCTTCTTCTTCTTCTTCTTCTTCTTTCTTCTTCTTCTTCTTCTCTTCTTCTTCTTCTTCTTCTTCTTCTTCTTCTTCTTCTTCTTCTTCTTCTTCTTCTTCTTCTTTCTTCTTCTTCTTCTTCTTCTTCTTCTTCTTCTTCTTCTTCTTCTTCTTCTTCTTCTTCTTCTTCTTCTTCTTCTTCTTCTTCTTCTTCTTCTTCTTCTTCTTCTTCTTCTTCTTCTTCTTCTTCTTCTTCTTCTTCTTCTTCTTCTTCTTCTTCTTCTTCTTCTTCTTCTTCTTCTTCTTCTTCTTCTTCTTCTTCTTCTTCTTCTTCTCTTCTTCTTCTTCTTCTTCTTCTTCTTCTTCTTCTTCTTCTTCTTCTTCTTCTTCTTCTTTCTCTCTTCTTCTTCTTTTCTTCTTCTTCTTCTTCTTCTTCTTTCTTCTTCTTCTTCTTCTTCTTCTTCTTCTTCTTCTTCTTCTTCTTCTTCTTCTTCTTCTTCTTTCTTCTTCTTCTTTCTTCTTCTTTTCTTCTTCTTCTTCTTCTTCTTCTTCTTCTTCTTCTTCTTCTTCTTCTTCTTCTTCTTCTTCTTCTTCTTCTTCTTCTTCTTCTTCTTCTTCTTTCTTCTTCTTCTTCTTCTTCTTCTTCTTCTTCTTCTTCTTCTTCTTCTTTCTTCTTCTTCTTCTTCTTCTTCTTCTTCTTCTTCTTTCTTCTTCTTCTTCTTCTTCTTCTTCTTCTTCTTCTTCTTCTTCTTCTTCTTCTTCTTTCTTCTTCTTCTTCTTCTTCTTCTTCTTCTTCTTCTTCTTCTTCTTCTTCTTCTTCTTCTTCTTCTTCTTCTTCTTCTTCTTCTTCTTCTTCTTCTTCTTCTTCTTCTTCTTTCTTTTCTTCTTCTTCTTCTTCTTCTTCTTCTTCTTCTTCTTCTTCTTCTTCTTCTTCTTCTTCTTCTTCTTCTTCTTCTTTCTTCTTCTTCTTCTTTTCTTCTTCTTCTTCTTCTTCTTCTTCTTCTTTCTTCTTCTTCTTCTTCTTCTTCTTCTTCTTCTTCTTCTTCTTCTTCTTCTTCTTCTTCTTCTTTCTTCTTCTTCTTCTTTCTTCTTCTTCTTCTTCTTCTTCTTCTTCTTCTTCTTCTTCTTCTTCTTCTTCTTCTTCTTTCTTCTTCTTCTTCTTCTTCTTCTTCTTCTTCTTCTTCTTCTTCTTCTTCTTCTTCTTCTTCTTCTTCTTCTTCTTCTTCTTCTTCTCTTCTTCTTCTTCTTCTTCTTCTTCTTCTTCTTCTCTTCTTCTTCTTCTTCTTCTTCTTCTTCTTCTTCTTCTTCTTCTTCTTCTTCTTCTTCCTTCTTCTTCTCTTCTTCTTCTTCTTCTTTCTTTCTTCTTCTTCTTCTCTTCTTCTTCTTCTTCTTCTTCTTCTTCTTCTTCTTCTTCTTCTTCTTCTTCTTCTTCTCTTCTTCTTCTTTCTTCTTCTTCTTCTTCTCTTCTTCTTTCTTCTTCTTCTTCTTCTTCTTCTTCTTCTTCTTCTTCTTCTTCTTCTTCTTCTTCTTCTTCTTCTTCTTCTTCTTCTTCTTTCTTCTTCTTCTTCTTCTTCTTCTTCTTCTTCTTCTTCTTCTTCTTCTTCTTCTTCTTCTTCTTCTTCTTCTTCTTCTTCTTCTTCTTCTTCTTCTTCTTCTTCTTCTTCTTCTTCTTCTTCTTCTTCTTCTTCTTCTTCTTCTTCTTCTTCTTCTTCTTCTTCTTCTTCTTCTTCTTCTTCTTCTTCTTCTTCTTCTTCCTTCTTCTTCTTCTTCTTCTTCTTCTTCTTCTCTTCTTCTTCTTCTTCTTTTCTTCTTCTTCTTCTTCTTCTTCTTCTTCTTCTTCTTCTTCTTCTTCTTCTTCTTCTTCTTCTTCTTCTTCTTCTCTTCTTCTTCTTCTTCTTTTCTTCTTCTTCTTCTTCTTCTTCTTCTTCTTCTTCTTCTTCTTCTTCTTCTTCTTCTTCTTCTTCTTCTTCTTCTTCTTCTTCTTCTTCTTCTTCTTCTTCTTCTTCTTCTTCTTCTTCTTCTTCTTCTTCTTCTTCTTCTTCTCCTTCTCCTTCTTCTTCTTTTTTCTTTCTTTTATTTTCTTCTTCTTCCTCTTCTCCTTCTCATCCCCTCTTCTTCCTGTTTCTTCTTCTACTTAGAAAAAATAATACTTTCATGTAAAACTGAAGACGAACTGTCACGTCAATGTCTATTTTTTGTCACATTCAGGCACTTTTGCCGTGGTGTCCCTGATGGTTGGGGCAGTCGTTGACAAAGGCCACATCGCATGGCAAAGACAGGAACTGCAGGGAGTCATCAACGACATACGGACTGGGCACAACATTACACACTCTATAGGGGACGAGGGGATGTTGACCACAACCGCACCTCACAACGAAAACCTCACTAGCCTCACTCAGATGCTCAGGAATCAACATATGTCCCAACTGGATTCTATTAAAGTCGGCTACGCCATGGCAGTCACATTTGCTGTTGGTGTTTTACAGGTAAGTGAAGAGCAATCAGAGGTCCCTTTTCACTCCCAGTGGCGAATTTGGTTTACAATAAGTAAATTGAAGGTTCATAAAAAAAAAAAAAAAAAAAAAAAAAAACAGAAGCCATATAACCCCCCCCCCCCCCCCACAGGGGCAGGGGCCAACCGACACAAATATGGGCACAGGATCTAAGTGACTCCCTAAATATTAAAGTACACGAGGCGGAATAGCTGGTGAGACTGAGTTTCTTTCAGGCAGACCGTGATGAGAGTGACGTTCTGCAAAGGACCTACAACATGATGATGATGAAATTTCCAAGCCTTTAGCATCATGGGCATATTGGGCTAGAACTATATTTTATAGACCAATCGGCTTTCAGTGTGTGATGCAGTTAACAGGCCGGCCACCTTTCCTTACCAGAACTTATCCTAGTACTCTTTAGGAGTCGGTCAACCTGGAAGCCAAGGTTATATAATAATATATATAATATATAGGAATCAACTCACAGGGAGCAAGTACAGCAGGGATCTACCAGTCGTCAGTAGAAATTATCCTCGTCGACAAGTGTTTCGGCCCACGATTCCTAGACACTTTCGGAGGTGGGCCCACCTGAGTTCATGAAGCTCAGGGCTGGTACCCTGCTGCACGAAATTACCGGATGGTGTTTTTCTTTTGGATAGGGACAAGACGACTTGGCGATTTGCAGAAGGTACTGTGAGATAAGAAGTCGTCGCGGCAGCCTAATTAGAACAGTCAGCATACCTGGACGACCGAGCGACAAGCTTACGGTTGATTTACCGGACACATGTTGGACTTTGTTAGCAGGTGGCAGAGGATCACTGGCAGACAATTCGGACACGATGGACTTTCAAGGGATGAAAAACTCTTTTCCGCTAGACACCCGGACCAGCTCACCGAGGCCCGTCCCCTACGTTGTTCCGTTGCGTCCAAAGCCAACTCGAGGCCCTTTCGGCTGCCTCGCCCAGTTTTTTAAGTGTTCGTTTCCGTTCATTACCGCGCAATCCTAGTTCTTTAACCACATTGTACAGTGAAGTGAAGTGGAAACGAGGCCTCTCGCTCCCACTTCGACGGCAAAGACCCGTACCGTGTACGCCTCGTTTCTCCTCAGACCGGCTGCTAAATCACTGTATTTCTCGAGCTTATACATGTGATTCTCTTCCATACGCGACTCATACGGGACAGTCAGCTCAATCAGGATGAGCTGCCGTTTTTGCGCAGAGTGGAGAACTATGTCAGGTCGCAGGCCGGTCTTCCGGATTAACTAGGGGTACCTTTCATGGCCCGGCAGGGTATATAATAATACTCACATTTGCTTAGACCAGTCAGCACTTAGGAGTGATGTGATCATCCCTACGAAGGCCACCTTTACTTCTCAGTCTTTTATTTTAATAAGGAAACAAATCGACCACATTCTACTCTACCAAAGACAGCTTTGGTTATAATTAGTGTCTGGTTTTATTTGCACCAAGTTCAATAGCTTAAATGGTTTGTTATGCCAGCAGTTGTGGCTTTGTGGCCCCAGCTGTATGCGATTTGACCTTTCTAAACATGTTTGTAAGCTCTCGGTTGGTCCTGTGTGTGTGTGTGTGTGTGTGTGTGTGTGTGTGTGTGTGTCCATCTTGGGTTGCGGGCGGGGGGGGGGGGGGTGGTTAATTGATAGGATAAGTTTATGAGGATCAATGTTATCTCGTGCTTGGGGCAGTATTCACAGTTCAAAACTGGTTTGGAAAGAATTAACAATGAAGTTGAGTTGGAACGTCCAATTTCTGATTAAAATGGTAAGCCTAAGTCAGATAATTTGGTAAACATTAATCCTCATAAACTTATGTCATGGATTCAGCTGTCTCAAGAACACTTTTGGCCGTTTGAAACAGAATTAACCTTCACACATGTTTATGCTGCACATGCAACGACGCAGTTTTCCCTAGCTAAACAAAATGACGAGTTACTTATCGTCTGCTGACCAGGCGGCGTTGTAATTTTGCCTAATCATAGATTAATACGTGCCTGTTTGGGTGTCATATCCTGCTTCATGGGTGGCGTTTTTGTTTTGGCGATTAAGAAACAAAAAATGCCAGTCTCATTATTGAGATGTAGACCGTCAGAAAGCGTTGTCAGACATTCGCGCTATTCAAACAACTTATTTCCAGCGATTAATTACACGCCAAATAGTAGATCTGATAGACTATTAGCAACGTAACATCTCATACGGCCTCAAGAAATTGTTTGCCCTGAATACCGATTGTCCACACTACACTTTACTTAAAAACAAAAACTATTCAGTACTGTACTTTGCTTGATTGTACTTCACTGCCCGGCACTGCACAGTACTCTATTTTACTGTAGTTTACTGTCATCTACTCCTCTTTGCGTTCATCAGCTGTAAACTCCAGCTGAAAGTTCTGGTTGATCGCTAATTTCTGGACTTGAGTCTTGTTCAACTTTCCTATATTACGCATTAGTTAATTGTACTTTGCTTTGCTTTATTGAATGTACCATAGTGCTGTGAGCGCGCTTCGCAATTCAGAGATACTCGAGTCGATTCCAGCGTTGGACAATTTAGCAAAGACCGCTTAGCGTTTATTTTGACTTGGTTATATTAAGCCGACCGTTTTTGAGCAGTGATTAAAAAAAAAAAGTCGGGAGATGTGAACTAGCGTCATTGCACACGGCTTTAAACCATAAGTGCTCTGCTACCAGTATGGACAGCTGATACGAATTGTCCGCCTGTGTCGCCGTTCGCAAGTAACTCTGTAGCTACAGCGACGTTCCTCCATTTACCCCAGAGTGTCAACACTGGTACCCATTTCCTAGAGGCTGGGTGAACCCCGGGAACCGCCCGGTTTCGAACACCGACAGTGGGCTGCAGCGAGTCTCAGCTGGATTTGAAAGCGAGCCTCTTATCGACTGCTAACGCGGCCCCGGTTTGAGCGAGCAGTGGTAAAAACTACTGAACGTAAAAGTGACCAGTGAAAGCAAAACAGCTAGCAAATGCTGGTGTTGATTCTGAAATGACATGTAAAGGATGTACTACTAACTAACAGCAGTAACTTAATTTGAAATAACTCTCTGCACTTTTGTTGCAACACATCTGTGGCCAAGTCGATGCGAACGCTTCGTAATGCCGGGTTGCCGGGTTCGATCCCAGCTACGGGCCATGCGCCTTGCGTTGGTTTCGACAGTGGTATCAAGAAGCTGACCGTTGAGAGCAATGGCAAACTACTGGACGTAAATTTGCCTAAAGAAACCACACAACAGCCAGGGGCTGTTATGGTTGGTTCTGCAACATGCTGTAAAGGGATACGCAACTAACCTTTTTTAACCTACTGCACTGTACGTTTCTTGACATTACCAGAGAAAGCCCGATTCCCTGCTCAGGTATTCCTGACAGCTGTTCGGCTGGGAAGACTCAGAACCGCAGATATCCGGGTTCACAACAGCTTTTTTTTTTTTAAACTCTGCTTTGCTTTTCTTTATTACCTACCTTTAAGAGGCTGAGTGGTCTCGGTGTATGATGTACGCTTCGAGTGTTGGAAGTCCCAGGTTCCAGCTCCGGTGAAGGCTAGGATTTTTGCACTTGGACTTCTAATTATTTTCCCTGGTCTTTGGGTAGTAAGATCGGACGCCTGTGTGTATTTTTGCACACGTAAAAAAAAAAAAAAAAACTTTTGCCAGTTGAAAATCGAAAAGAGTAGCCTAACGGCGCTCTCCGTGCAACATTTGGAGATGAAAATCTACCCAAAGTATTTCAGGATCTTCGCCGGCGCAACGGAGTTCGTGCACTGCACTGAAATTCTTCAGACCCGGGTTTGAGTTAGAAGTAGAACGGAGCACTCATGGGTTACACCCGTATGCCATGATATTGATCCGTCGAATAAACATAAACATGTTATGTGTATCTACCTTACGGTAATCTAACGTGCTTTACTTTACCGTACTGATAGGCGACGAAACCTTACTTCTCAGGTACCCTGAACCCACGCACACATTTTTTCCCCCTGGAGCAGAACACCCTCCCCCTCCCCCCACCCTCCACTATAGATAGATGTTTCTTTTTTATGCATTTGTTTATATATTTCAAATATATTTTGTTGTTGCTATCTAGCAGATGTTGATAGTTAAAGAAAAATAAAAGTAATAGTAATAATAATAAGTATTTGTACTATTATTGCATAGTTAAACTAGGCTTAAGCCTGTTTATCGACACAAATTTTCTAGGGACGGGGTAAAAGAACTTAAACCTTGTTTAATTGTGCAAAATAGTAAATATTTTTAATACTACTACTAAATATTTATATTATTATTATATTATCTCGCCTCCCTAAATGAATTATCGGGGGGAAGGAGGGGGTGGGGGGGGAGGTGGGGGGGGGGGGGGTCTGATCGCCAGGCGCCTAATGTTTTCCCAGTGGCAGCATGTCTTTATTTTTACCTTTACTTCACTGACGAAAACTATGATTCTCCTCTATACAGGTGTTCCTGGGAGCTATGCGGCTGGGTTTTCTGACCACGTTCCTCTCAGACCCATTGATATCCGGGTTCACAACCGGAGCGGCCGTCCACGTCTTCTCCAGCCAGGTGAAGTCCGCCTTCGGAGTTACAGTTCAGCAGTATAGCGGTCCATTCAAGCTGATTTTTGTAAGTCGTTTTGAAAAAATGGAGCCGCCGTGGCTGGACGCTCGCCTGCGAATCGGAAGGTCGTGGATTCGGACTTGTTTTAAAAAAAGACCTTGGCTCTCAGATCGACCCAGCCTTGAGTGGGTACCAGGTACCGTTCTGGGAAGTAAAGGCGGCTGGTGTGATGCTGATCACACACCCACTAAGTGCCGTTTGGTCTATAAAATATAGGTCTAGCCCTATACACCCAATACGCCGGAAGGCGGGAAAAAGGGTCCATTACTGTTTACTTTATTCTGAAAGGGGACCCTTTTCCGCACTTTCAGTCGTAATGGGCTTATGGGTTAGATCTATGTTTTATAGACCGATCGGCATTTGGTGGTTGATATGATCAGGATCACACTAGTCGCCTTTACTTCCCAGGACTTTACCTGGCTGGGTCGACCTGGGAGTCAAGGTCATTTATAAAAAAAAACACGTATAGTTTGGTCAGGACCCGAACCCACGACCTTCCGAAACGCAGATAAGCGTCTATCCGCTACATCACGGCGGCTCCCGTAAGACATTTTAAACCTCAGAAACTCAAAAGGTGGGTTCCGGGGTCGCATTGTGGGGACAGATAGAGGAAAAGAATTGAGCCACTGCCTCCCTAATTAAAAATGTCGTACAAGACAACTAATTAGGGAAGTTTCCTTCGAAGTTGAACTGCGTCTGCTTGAAACTTGAAGAACTAACAGGTGGCGTTCAAATAAAAGAGGTCTATAAAACGGATGTGCACGCAAAACTCAAATCCTAGGACAAGACCAGAATTTAGAAGTGGACGAACAACCAGACCTTTCCACCGGAGTTTACAAGCGTTGAACGCAAACAAGAAGAAAAAGAAAGTTAATAGACTGCGCATCTTATAGGTGATTAAACATCTTTTATAATCCTCAGAGTACCACATTTTTATTTCTGTACCGGACGTTTGGAACAAGAAATTGTCTTGTGGCTTGAGGAAGATGGCATGAGAGTTGCACCACTAACGCAATTTGGGCCTCACCATTGCAGCCAGGCTTATTGTCGGGATACACGGCTGGCACAATTATTCATTCTGCCCACACATTCTTCCTCTGTTGCTCTCGATCAAGTTTTAGCTTTCAGTTGGGCTGTCGGACTTTTGAAATGAGAACCGGGAAAAATGCTTGGAAACATCAGGTGAAAGAAAGAAGTCTATGCCCTGTAGTAAAATAATTTTTCACAACGGAAACAACGCCTAGAAAGCTCAACGCAAAGAACGATAAAGATGCACGCAAATACAGTAGACCGTTTCCATTGCTGTCTTTATCAATGAAAAATACAACAAAATCATGCCTCACTCTAAGTTTAGACGTCACTTTTGATAGCAGAGGTCCTATTTTAATGATGGTGATAATCGTGATTTAGTATAATGTCAATATATTTTAAACTCAGCCAGTTTGCCTTAGGAGTGCCAACACAAACAATAGGAGGGTGGGAGGGGGGGGGGGGGGAGAGACGGGGCGCTGTGAGCATGGTCTGTAAAAGAGGGAAAGGAAGGTTGACTAAAGGGCATAAGCATTCTCATAGTGGTTAATTTTAGTTTATTAATAATAATAATAATAATAATAATAATAATAATAATAATAATAATAATAATGTGTTGAATAGTAAATAATAATACTAATATATTTGAAATAATATGATACGAGTCCTTGCCTACCACACACACAGGCGTCACCATATACATTTATTATTATTCGATGCATATCGAGGGGTGCCCAACCTTTTGCCGTCCAGAATCCAAAACAGCTCGTTGCTTCAACCTAGTTTCCATGTATGTCTCCATATTTGGTACTGCTGTACGCTTTCCACACACGTGACCATTCATGTTTTGATAGTCACTCATACAGTATTCGCCAGTCGAGCCAGACTTGCGAGGAAAGGATCGTAAACGGGCTCTGGAGCAACTGGGCGAGGCTGCTAAAAGAGCTACTAGCTGGTTATGGACATAACAAAAAGACGTGGGGGATAGGTCTCGCTAGACTGGTCTGAGCCCCTACTGGAAAAGAACCTTTAAATCCCATAAGCCAGAGTTGTCTACCACCGTCTGCCCGTGCTACTGCAAGCTGGCGAAGTCTGCCCGATAAACGTCTGTCCGATGAACCAGCCATCCATTTGTCACTCTGGGTATGCAGGTAGGCACTTAACCTGATACCACTGGGACAATATAAATCACCAAAACCCCGGTCCTGTTGCAATATTCACCATCACATATTGTCCGATTGTCCGATCAGAGCAGCAAAAGAAGTCCGAGACTGACAATCATGACCCATATCGCCCCCCAAACGAGATTGTCTAGGGAGATAAACGGGCGGAAGCAATTGTTAGAAGAGGGGCACCTACTATAGATTGGTAGATAGATGCTGTGCGTGCTCCCGTTGTCGAGTTCTTCTTATTAGACTTTCTCCCTCTTCGCTATTAACAAAGTTATAGTCTTAGGGTCAATAATTTTCAAACCATTCTCGTTTACATGAATAACTTCTTGGAAAGAGAACTTTTTTTAAAAAACATGGTTCGGGGGAGGCAAATGGGAGGGAAGGGGAGGGTGGGGTGGGTGGGGTCTGCTTAGCACCCTTACAAATTTAGTTGGAGGAGGGCTGAGATGAGCTCACTAAATATTTTTCAGGGGGTGTGTCTTATGGTGCTTCAGCCCCATTTTCCAACGCTCCTGCATTTGCTGGCAATTTGATGCCTCAATGATTTGCTTCTTCTAGTCCTACAGGGATTTTTTCACCAACATTAAGAACACAAACATCGTGACGATGTCGGCGACGCTAGTGGCGGTTCTTGTTCTGATCGCTATCAGAGAGGGCATCAACAGCAACAAAACGTATAAAGCAAGGATGAAGGGAATACCAGTCCCTGGAGAACTCATGGTGGTAAGTGGCCTCTGTAGTTCTTGCCTTAGTCTGCATCAGCAGTTCTTGAATCATTCTTAGATTAACCGGACTTAAGCTCGCCAGGTGGAACCGCAGGAGGGAATCCATATTGTTAAATACTCCTTGAAACTGCAACAGGCGCTGCAAGTCAGCAGTGTATAACAGCTAATTCGAGAAGTCGGACTGACCTTCATGGTTAACGACTTTTGACCGGTAATCCACTACGAGACATGAAATTTTTGGGACTTGTGCCAAGACTTACATAAGATAGTACACCACAGTGTCCTGTCACTCACTTAAGACACAGCGGGAACAGATTGACAGAGGTCGCCCAGGAAAACGATGGATAGATGGAATAAATGAGGCCGTAAATTCAAGCATCTATACAGCACACACTAAGACTTCTTCAAAACCTGGCTCTGAATGGGCAAAACAGGGTCTAAAAAAAAACAAGAAAGACATTTTTATCTTTTATCTGATCAACAGTTCTTGTCACCAGTTGCAGCAACGGTTCCTATTTTGTCAGCAGTAATTTTTTACTTTCCCTTCTCTTCTTCCCTTTTTTTTAATAAGCATTTTTTAAATCTTCTAATTCATAAACAGTTCTTGCCTTAAGTTTCATCAACAGTTCTTGTCTTACGTTTCATCAGTATTTCTATCTTAGTTTTATAAGTAGTTCTTGTCGCGTGTGGCATCAACGGTTCTTTACTCATGTATTCTTAACAGCCCCCCCCCCCCAGTTACATCAGTAGTTCTTATCTTATATTTAGGCAGTTATTGTATTTTTAATAATAGGTTATATGTTTACATATGTGACAGCTCCACTCTTACGTTTCAGCAACGGTTTTGTCTTATTTTTCGCCAACGGTTATTGACAAATGTTTTGCCAGCAGGTTTTGTCTAACATTCCATCAACATTTCTTGTGCTACATCAACAGGTCTTGTATTATATTTCACTAGCATTTCTCGGCGTACGTTTAGTCAACATTTTGTGTGTGTCTTTTGTGGTGTCATCAACATTTCTTGACTTAGGTTTCACCAACAGTTCTAGTCATATTTTTCACCAAAATTGTGCGTCTTATTTTTAGTCAACAGTTCATCGATTCTGTTTCACTAATAACTTTGCTTTGTTTTATTCTGTGTTTGCAAATGCTACCCTCTGTAAATGCAGCATGCATTTATGATGATGACATTGAATACTCTACTCTCATGGACAGTGGTTACAACAAGGCGAAAAACACAGAGACACTTATTTTATTGTTGTTTCGTTTCCCCCTCCATAAAGTCACTCTGTAGGATCAATATCTCAGAGATGAGAATGAAACAGAAACAGATCCGGAAAACCCCGTTCCGCAGTATAGCCACAAAGCACAGTCACACTCGGGCACCACAAAATGATTAAGAAGTAACCAGTAGTACAGTGTGGTTCGGTCTTTTTCCATCAAAGATAGTTATATAATTCAAAACTAACGTGAACAAAAATGCAAACTGCTAGCTACTTTCTTCGACCTGACTAAAGCCTTTGATAAGGTCTTGAAGAAAGGACTCTTGCTAAAACTAGCACACCGAGGGATAAAATGACAAATATTTGCCTCGATTTGAGACTTTCTTTACAGACACTGTGCAAGAGTCAGATTGGAAAAAACACTTGAGCAAACTAGTCAAGTTACTAGACGTTGTCCCCAGGGAGGTGTTATTTCCTACCCTGTTTATCCTTTTCGTCAATAACCTCTTGAAGCAGTTCACAGCTCACGTTCACAAGGCCCTACATGCAGATGACCTGGCCATATGGACCCAAGCTGAACATACAGGAAAAACTAAAACAAGAATGCAGGAAGCTATAAATACAGTAAAGAAATGAACAGCCTCTTGGGTAGTCACAATAAAACAGACCAAAACCGTCGCAACTCTCATCTCTCTTTCCACAAAGCCAAAGCAAGTAGATCTGTACATGGAAGGCAACATCCTTCCAAAACAGGATAACCCCATATATTTAGGAGTAAAATTCGACAAAAGACTAATCTGGGGCCCCACATTGAAAACATCCAAAGCAAAGCTACTCTGAGACTCATACTTATGATGAAACTTACTGGAACAAGCTGGGGTGCAGATGCCAACACTGTACAAGTATACACAGGATACATACGACCAAAACTGGAGTATGGCATGGGAGCATACTCCACTGCAGCCAAATTAAACCTACACAAACTGGACAAAATACAGAACACAGTCTCAGAATCATCACTGGAGAGATATGAGACACATACTAATCCATGAGCTGAAGACAAATTTTGGCCTCCAGAGCTTGAGCTTTCGAAAGGAAGACAAGGTGCTTACCCTAACAACAGCATGAACAACAACCCCATGCACAGAATAGCAAATAATCTAACTAAACACCGACTGAAAAGACAGAGCTTTCACTATGTATCAAAATTGTTCTAAATAAAAAACAAGAACATTCTTTCTAAATATCATTCAACATGGGAAATGATCCAGGCATACAGCATAGACCCACAGCCTAACTATACAGTCATAACAACAATTCCAGGCTTAGACAGAAAGGCTGAAGAGTGTGACCTAGTACGGCATGCAAAGACCATTGAACATGTCTACAACGGTTATCCAAAACCTGAATGGACACACGTATACACCGATGGACCAATAGAGGGAGCAGAAAAAAACCACAAAAAAAAAAAAAAAAACAGAGGAGCTGGATCGGTCATCATGCTGCAAGATGGGACCAGAGAAGAAACATCATGCGCTTCCGGAAAACTCTCAACAAACTTCAGAGCAGAGCAGCAAGCAATTATTGATTCAGCCAAAGTGCTTAACGTAAGAAAAACTAAAAACAACAACATTGTTTTCTTTTGTTACTGCATGTCAGTCCCCCAGGCGACTCAGATGGATCCACGAGACAAGGTGGAGAGAGGACTGACCCGCCAGCTAAACAGACACGCAGAAAAACAATCAGATCGTTCTCCAGTGGATCCCGGTTCACTGCGACATACCAGGAAATGAGTTAGCAGACAGACCAGCTAAAAATGGAACAAAGGAGAAACAACACACCCATCCATTGCTGTTACCTGAAATCAGAACACTTATCAAGGGAAAAAACAAGGAATTGTGGAGAAAACAAACAGTAAACATCCACAAGACCCTATCAGCAAACTCAACAGAAACAAACATAAGAATTTTCCATCTACGAACAGGATACTGCAGGCTCACAGATGTGTAAAATAGAGATTGTACAGTCCTCACACTGTGCCTGTCAAACAGTACCACAAACACCTCAGCACATTCTCCAGATCTGCCCACTCTATATTCAAACACGAAAAGACACTTGGTCCCAAGAGCAAAGTGTGCAGAGCAAGCTATGGGAAACAATGAAGGACCTGCTACTGACAAAGCGAGTTCATAGAGGCAACCCACCAGGTGATCTGATCTAAGCATATGAAACCGAACGCAAAGATGAAGAAGAAAACTAATAGACAACTGGAAGATACGTAAACCAGATTACTCTTTCTCTCTCTTTCTTTCTTACATACACACATATCTGGATGACATCTATGTGTGATATACGTATACATTTGTATACAAGAGAGCGGCTGATCGCCAGTCGAGTGTCCCACAAAGCATGAAGTCCAATAGCCTCAGCAATAACCAGCAGTGATTTCTGAAGCATCTACACTGGTGACTCACAGATCTGAAAACCGGAAGCTCTACCCTACGTTCTGTAAAGCAGCACACCAAAATGGAAGAGATTGATTGGAGGCCCACCTGACAGCAAACAAAACACAGAAACACAAACAAATGTAGAAGGTAGTGTGTTAAAACCTAGATCATTACTATACTACTGTTTTGAGGTTAGAAAATCTGTTATACGTGGCTGGAGTTTCATTCCGGTACACGGAGCGCTGCAATAGCCTTCATCTGATGTAATTTTATTTTAAACTTACATGGCTAAGAATGTCTTTTGACACAGATAGGAAAATCAACGTACACAAAACAGAAGTGGTGACGTTCTCCAGAAAAGGAAGAACCACCAATATCCAATTTAATGAACTACGCAGGCGAAAGATTTTTACATGTCCGGGGAGCGTTTTTTTTTTAGGAGACGGAAGAATTAATAAAGAAATCCAACAAAGATGATATGAAGCTAATCACGTTTTAGGCCAAGTAGCACCAGTTTGGAAATGCAAGCTATGCTATCAGTGTCAAACATGGACACTGTTATCAGAAGACAAAAGGAAAATAGTCACGATAGAAATTAAATGTTTACGTACTATGCTAGGTGTAACAAGAAAATATCGATTTAGGATCGATGATAACAGGAGGGGATTCGGCACAGAACCAGTACTGAACTTTATAGGTAGACAACACATCAAATAGTTTGGCCATGTAACAAGATTGGCATCAGACAAGGACCCAGAGAGAACAATGTTATACAGGTACAACGGTAACAGAACCAGAGGTCGACCAAGCAGACGATGGACAGCAGAAATATCAGAAATACTGAAAAGAACTATGCACGAAGCGAACAGAAGAGCTCCTTCTAGAAATCTCTTCATGCCCTGCTACCGCTAGGCATTCAGGTGTAGAGAAGAGAAAATGAAGAGGAAGCTGTTGAAAACAAAAACACAACTGGATAGCTCTATACCTCAGTCATGGATGTTCATTTTCAAGTGATATCCAAAACCCAAACAATGGTTGCATTTATATCTGGACACAAGACTAACATCACAAGCCAACTCTATCGGATTGCTTTTTTTTTCATCGTAGTCAAACCTTTCGGCTAATGTCCTCAAATGCTGATTTGTTACGTTGAATATCACTTGTACCTGTGTGATTCTCATCCTTGCGGTGTTAATCCTACAGACTGGAATCGCGGAAGAAAGATCTAAACTTCCTACCCTAACCTGTTACCTGATTAGGCAGTTTTGGCGGTCCACAGGGACTCTTCCGTGATCCACAAGTGGGTCGTGGTCCATGGGTGGAAGAACACTGCTTTAGAAGACGAGTAACTGGCGTGGCCATATCGTCACCAAACAGGACCATGAATAGAGAGAAAATAATTGGTAGAGATGGAAGGGATCAACCCCTGTATAATTTTCTTAGTGTTGGGACCTCAACGGTCTGGGGCGACCTGGAAGCCAAGGTAATTTCTAATAAAGAAGAGCAGGGCTCTGTTCGAATTTGAACCTAGGAGAGCGTTTAGCCGCTTCGCTACGGTGGTTCTGAAGACTTATTTGAATTAAAAAAAAAAAATTAAAAAACGAAAATTTGCGTCCCGTATCGAGACGACAATACAAAGCTGCAGACCTCGTTATTCCTTTGTTATTGTATTAATGTGTATACGTCGTTTGATTTATAAATAGATTATCGTTGGAACTATACTGTCTCGCCACTTTGCCTTGCACAAGGAGTTCGGGGTGGCCGTCATTGGTCATATACCAAAAGGGTAAGAGAAATTCTTTTGTATTTCTAAAAAAAAAAAAAAATTACTTGTCTCTTCAAAACTGAAAAAAAAAAAATGGCTGTTTTTGTGTGTGTCCCTTTTCGCTGAATGGGATTTGAACCCTGGGGTATCACACAGGAGACTGGTTATAAAAGCACATAGGGTGGTAGAGCTGCCAGTGTACCCAGTTTCTTTCAGACAGGAGACTGGTTATAAAAGTTCATAGGGTGGTACCCAGTTTCTTTCAGGCAGACTATGTAGTTAGCAACGTTCTGTAAGGAACCTGATATTTGATGATGATCTCGATGATCTATGCACATCGATAATCTCATATCTTTGTTGCATCCCTTAAGGTAAGTCCAGAATGTCAGTCCGTGTTTTATCAAAGGTTTCATTCAGTCAGTCAATCAAGCAATCAATCCGTCAGCATATCCTTTACAAAACATTGCCCTTCTCACAGCACTCCTGAATTTCTCTCCTGCTCTAGCCAAGTTAAAATAAAACAAGCAAAGGTCCCTTTTCCACGCCTTTAAGCGTATAGGGCTAGACCTATATTTTTATAAACCAATAGGTGATGTGGTCAGCATCACACCGGCCGCCTTTACCTTCCGGGACTGCACCTGGTACCCACATAAGGCTGGGTCGACCTGGGAGTCAAGGTCATTTTTAAAAAAAAGTCTGGCTCCACCAGGGAGCGAACCCACGACCTTCCGATCCGTACGCGAGCGTAAAGCCGCTACCCCACGGCGACTGCCCGCTCTAGCTAGGCCTCTAACAAGTTCTCTAGCCCTGTGTGCTTTCATAGCCAATGTATTTTCAGTGTCCTATATCCAACCTCGCGGAGGTCGCCCTCTGCTTCGTTTTCTGCAAACTGTACCTCCATAATGGTTCGTTCTCCCGAGACCACCATAGTTCTTGACAGGGCCTACTTACCCCAGCTTCCAGGACAGGATGCGAAGGGTTAATAAGATCCGACCATTTCTCATCCAACAGTTTCCCGGCAGTCAGTTTCACATTTGTCAAGTATTTGCCGGATGTGATTGGCGAATCTTTCGCTATTTGTTTTACTGCGTTTGCGACTTCCTTCGCCATTTCAAAGATTCTCGCTGACAAGCACAACTACATTGTTGACCCGAATCAGGTAACTGTCGTCCACAGTTTGTTCAGCTTCATTTAGTGTGTGTGTGTGCTTGTGTGTGTGTGTGTGTTTTTTGTGTGCGTTTGTGTGTGTGTGTCGTGTACACGAACAGCTATATTTGATCAGATGTGTTGTTCCATAACAATTATTTATTCCGACTTATGTCCACTAACCCCTTCACGCCAGCGGGATTTTCTATGATCATGCTTTTGCTCAGAGACACACATGATGATAGTTGCCTGCGTCTCAAAATCCAAAGGGTCTTTTGCCACAGTTTTCTCCAAACCGAGTTAATGGTCCTGTCAATTACTTGCACCCTATATGTCAATGAGAATTAAAGAATAGAGGACATAAAAGCGATTTTTATATAATATACGTGGTAACTGTATGTCAGCGGTCACACCAATTATTAAACAGTGCTTTGGTCTAGACTGAATTTTTCAAAGGTACATTCACAGAAGTGACAGATGAACAATTAGACACTCATTACTACGCAGAATAACAAATAGACACGCTTTACTACGCAGAATAACAAGTAGACACGCTTTACTACGCAGAATAACAAGTAGACACGCTTTACTACGCAGAATAAGAAGTAGACACGCTTTACTACGCAGAATAACAAGTAGACACGCTTTACTACGCAGAATAACAAGTAGACACGCTTTACTACGCAGAATAACAAATAGACACGCTTTACTACGCAGAATAACAAGTAGACACGCTTTACTACGCAGAATAACAAGTAGACACGCTTTACTACGCAGAATAACAAGTAGACACGCTTTACTACGCAGAATAACAAGTAGACACGCTTTACTACGCAGAATAACAAATTGACACGCTTTACTACGCAGAATAACAAGTAGACACGCTTTACTACGCAGAATAACAAGTAGACACGCTTTACTACGCAGAATAACAAGTAGACACGCTTTACTACGCAGAATAAGAAGTAGACACGCTTTACTACGCAGAATAACAAGTAGACACGCTTTACTACGCAGAATAACAAGTAGACACGCTTTACTACGCAGAATAACAAGTAGACACGCTTTACTACGCAGAATAACAAGTAGACACGCTTTACTACGCAGAATAACAAGTAGACACGCTTTATTACGCAGAATAACAAGTAGGCACGCTTTACTACGCAGAATAACAAGTAGACACGCTTTACTACGCAGAATAACAAGTAGACACGCTTTACTGCGCAGAATAACAAGTAAACACGCTTTACTACGCAGAAAAACAAGTAGACACGCTTTACTATGCAGAATAACAAGTAGACACGCTTTACTACGCAGAATAACAAGTAGACACGCTTTACTACTCCGAATAACAAGTAGACACGCTTTACTACGCAGAATAACAAGTAGACACGCTTTACTACGCAGAATAACAAATAGACACGCTTTACTAAGCAGAATAACATGTAGACACGCTTTACTACGCATAATAACAAGTAGACACGCTTTACTACGCAGAATAACAAGTAGACACGCTTTACTACGCAGAATAACAAGTAGACCCGCTTTACTACACAGAATAACAAGTAGACACGCTTTACTACGCAGAATAACAAGTAGATGCGCTTTACTACGCAGAATAACAAGTAGACACGCTTTACTACGCAGAATAACAAGTAGATGCGCTTTACTACACAGAATAACAAGTAGACACGCTTTACTGCGCATAATAACAAGTAGACACGCTTTACTACGCAGAATAACAAGCACAGTTTTAAATAGCCACGGACTCCTCAAGAATGCTAGAAAGGAGAAGGCAGGCTACAGGCATGCTGGTTACAGAGTTTTAGAGGAGTGAGCGGGCTTTGTGCCAGTCTCTCCAGTGCATGCAGGTGTGTTGTGGCTAACGTAGAAAAAAAATGAAAGACTGATTGGTGCTGTACGTCTGTGTCCCAAATAGAGGCACACCGAAGTAGATATGGTAAAGGACCTCTGGAAGCAGCATAAGAACAACAATGAGAAACTGACAGATCACCATTGTTTAGAAAGAATGTTGCTGATGGAAATAATCAGACGATCTGAATGACTTTCACCTCTCAGTGGAAAGACAAGATGGTAGTATAATCAAGTTACAGCTTGCTGGCATCTTTAGTATGGGACACACTGACCGCTGAAGATTGCGACATAGCGTTTATTAGTCGACCCCGAATGTTGTGATGTCTGTTCTTACTCTTATATTACGTTCAAATACTTCTCCGGTATCCCAGAGTCACACTCTAAGAATCACTGATCCAGTATAGCTCTATCTGTCTGCCTGCCTGCCTGCCTGCCTGCCTGCCTGCCTGCCTGCCTGTCTGTCTGTCTGTCTGTCTGTCTGTCTGTCTGTCTGTCTGTCTGTCTGTCTGTCTGTCTGTCTGTCTGTCTGTCTGTCTGTCTGTCTGTCTGTCTGTCTGTCTGTCTGTCTGTCTGTCTGTCTGTCCGTCCGTCCGTCCGTCCGTCCGTCTGTCTGTCTGTCTGTCTGTCTGTCTGTCTGTCTGTCTGTCTGTCTGTCTGTCTGTCTGTCTGTCTGTCTGTCTGTCTGTCTGTCTGTCTGTCTGTCTGTCTGTCTGAGACTCAATGATCATGCATAACATAACTCTCATCGCACTACAGGAACTGATCGCACACGGGGCCAGCAATGTCCTGGGCTGCATGTTCTCCTCATTCTGTAGCGCAGCGTCCTTATCGAGGAGTGTGGTTCAGAATGATGTTGGCGGCAAGACGCAGGTGAGTTAACTTTCTCCAATCATAATACTTCTAAACTTTCTATACTAAATTGTGTGCTTTGGAGTGACAGTTTGCCATGTGGGTTAAAGGGCTAATTTATTATTTCCTTTTAATTTGGGGTGGGGTGGGGGAGGGGAGGGGTGGATACCTGTCTCTTTCAGGGCGACTAAGTAAGGGTTAGGCTGAAATTGCATTTGCTGGTCCTAAAGGCGAAGATATCGCAGGCGAGCTGTCAACCACAGTACAATATTCTGACCGCCCTTTTAAGGGTGAATGCAGAAGGAGGTTGAGCGAAGGAGAAGAAAAAGAAGAGCAATAACTACAAGAAAACAACAGCAGTTTTTATATTATATCGTTAAAAAAAACTATGAGACAAAAGAGGTTCAAATAAGAAATGGGATAAACACGATTATAGTAACGCAATAATCAGACAAAAGAATCTACCAACTATATAATTATCAATCGATAAACGCGGGGAAAAAAAGAATTATAAATCAACGAATAATGAGTTAACTGCGTTTACAAGAGTTAAACATCAAGAGAGACCGTGAGAAGTATCGAGGAGTTTCGTTATTGAGCCGCACCGGGAAAATATTTTGTAAGATCCTTGAAAAAAAGGATACGTCCTATCATCAAACCACAATTAGGTGACAGACAATGGGGTTTCGGAAGAACAGAAGTTGTACTGATGCAATTTTCACACTTAGACAATTAGTGGAAAGGATGGTAGAATTCGATAAAGAATTACACATCGCATTTCTAGACCAAGGGAAAGCTTATGATCGAATTAATAGGAATACAATATGGAAAGTACTACAGGGTTACAGAGTAAACGAACATCTTATTAAATTGTGCAAGAGTTTGTACGTAAACAGTCAATGGGCACTTAGAACAAATACAGGAATGTAAGAAAGGTTTTACATTAGATCTATGGTGAGAGAGTGGTGCGTTCTATCACCACTACTGTTCATTACATACGTGGACCATATTTGCAAATCAGCTAACATCAGCGAGGGGAACAACATCGAAGAATTACTGAATGAATTGTTTTTCGCTAATGACAGACAATCATAACACCAACAGCAGTACGACTACGTGAACATTTTAAGAGACTCCACTCAGAATGCGACAACTATAATATGAAGATCAATGTAGACAAAACAAAAGTGATGGCATTCTCGAGAGTAGAACCAATATCAATATTGATGAGCATCAGCTAAAAAGCAGGCGAAGGATTTTACTTATCTGGGAAGCATTTTTCAAGAAGACGGAAGAATGGATAAAGCCAATCACGTTTTGGGCCAAAGGCCACGAATTTGTAAGTGTAAGTATTTATTACAGATGCCTGAAATAGTAGACTGAAGCGCCTCCATTGATTTGGCTCTCCAATAACCTTATGCCGATATTATCTTTATTACCACAGTTCGTCAGTCTTATCTCGAGTGCTCTTGTCGTTGTTGTGCTGTTGGCATTAGGCCCATTGTTTCAAGATTTACCAAATGTAAGTATACTGTATCATTATCACTCTCATGATTTTGGCCATCACCATCATCTTAAAATCAGCATGTGTCACACCGTACGCCGCACAGTTCACCTTGCCCACACGATCACCAAAATCACGGATCAGGTCAGGTCTCAGCTCTTGACCTGCTAAATCTATGTGGTTGAGATACCCAGAATTTATCTCTTTGTTTTTGCCTTAGCTTTTTTTTTCATCAAGCATATCAGTTATCCTAAGTCGATGCGAACACTTTGTAAGGCCTGGTGCCGGGTTCGATCCCAGCTGCGGGCCATGCGCCTTGCATTGGTTACGACAGTGGTATCAGGGGGCCGACCGTTCATAAAGCAATGGCAAACTAATGGACGTAAATTTGCCTACAGAAACCACAAAACAGCCAGGGGCTGCTGGGGTTGGTTCTGCAACGTCCTGTAAAGGATACGCAACTGACCTTTAATATCAGTTATCACTAAGTTGTCTAGTATAACACTTATTATAAAGTGTCCTAAACATTGTACTGTCTACATTTTATTTCACTTTACGGGTGTTATTTGTATCGCTTGATATTTTGTGTTGTTTATCCCATCCATTGTCCTCTTGGGCTCATATATGTCACACAGAGCTAGTAGTCTTTGTCTCTTTTCTTTCTGTCCGTTGTTGCAATCACTTCGAATATCAAGGATGGAATCTAGTCGAGCAGCTTTGGATTTTGTCATCAACGTTCGCCTGAGGGTTCCCTTTGAACGTCTTTGTTTTCTCAGTCCTATATTTCCCATTTCATTACCTGTTTGTGATTTCCGGTCGTCTTTTCTTAGAATGTTTCCAATATAGCGCCATCTTCTCAGCATTATAACTATTCATATTAGTAGTTGCCTAGATATTTCTCTAATTTCCTCACTGTGATGGAATGATCTCCTTTTATTTTCCTCATTTGCCTCAGGCATTTGTTTTCGAATTCTTTTAACTGTCGCTTTTTTGTGTGAAAGTACTTATCTAATGTCATAACTTCCAGTCATGTTATAGTGTATACTGTTTAAAAAAAAAAAAACGTAGAGTTATAGCGCTTTCTGTTTAAAAAAAAAAGTTATCCGACAGCGCTTTTTATAAGTTGACGAGTAAGCCTGTACGCCTAAAAACTGTCCATGACCCAGATGAAAAAGAACTATCAGTTGATTAGTTGAACCCTACTGTTATCGTGTTGTGCAATATAAACAATTTCACTTATTAAATTACAGAGATTCTGATGACAAAATTATATTCCCTTCATTAGCTATGCATTGTTGCAAGTAGTAAAGTGCCATCGGATAAGTATAAAGTGCCATCGGATAAGTATAAAGTGCCATCGGATAAGTATAAAGTGCCATCGGATAAGTATAAAGTGCCATCGGATAAGTATAAAGTGCCATCGGATAACTATACATTTTAAAAACATTATAGCTGGACCTCTGCGGGATTAGATTCCATCTATTGCATTAAAGTCATTGCACATGATAGAATAGTCAAAATCAACATTTACAAATCGCTGGTGTTGTCTCTCTGTTGGACGCTCACTGTGGAGATGGAAAAGGGGATTCAGGCTTTTGAATGTAAATGCAATAGACACATTTTGAGAATTAGTTATTTAAAACACAAAACTAATAATTATGTCAGGGACAAAATATACAAATTTGTGGGGCATCAGGAGCCTCTCCTCGCAGTGGTGAAACTTCGTAAGCTAGCTTGGTTTGGGCATGTGGTGAGACATGATTCTATTACAAAGACTGTACTGCAAGGAACTCAAGATGGTAGTCGAAGAAGAGGAGGGCAAAGAAAAACCTGAAATTACAACATCAAGAAATGGACAGGACTAAGTTATCATACATTTATTCATCAAGTGGAAGACAGAGAAAGATGGAGGATTTTTTGTGCTAGTGCTTCCATCAATACACATTCACGACCCCAATGGGTCAAGGGTTATGTTATGTTGGAACGGAATGCATGCATCGATTGCGATCCCTGCATGACATAAAATTGCACAACAGGAGATTGATGATGATGTTGATGATGAAGATGATGATAATGATGATGATGATGATGATAATGATGATGATGTTGATAATAGCAGGTCCAGTGCAGCGCTTCTGTTTTTTCGCTCTGATAATCAGCCTGACATATTAAAGAAAACTGCATTAGTAGGCAGGGGATGATCACCACTCTTCTTTCCATCATCACTTCTGAAACTGTAGTTGATTTTCTGTGAGACCGGATGTGACTTATAAGCCCAACACGGGGCTGGAAGGATCTAGGAAAGCGGTTCTCAACTTGTGGGTCTCGACCCTTTTATGGGTCGAACCACCCTTTCACAAGGGTCGCCAAAGACAATCAGAAAACACATATTCACTGAGGTTTTAGGTTTGAACAACAGATCAGCATCATGACACTTGGGTAGTAATCCATAAGGGGTCCGTTCTTCTTCTAACTCGTCTAAGTCCGACGAAGCACAGCACAGTGCACAGGCTCTGTAGCACCAGCGAGGATCCTGAAATACGCCAGGTAGATTTTTAACGCCAAATTTTACCCCGGGAAGCGCCGTTAGGCTACTCTTTTCGATTTCCGGCTGCCAAGGGATTTTTTACGTGCGCAACAATGCACACGGGCGTCCTATCTTACTACCCAGAGATCAGGAGGAATTACTAGTAGTCCAGGTGAAAAACTCCCAGCCCTTACCGGGATTGAACCCGGAACCTCTAACACTCGAGGTGGACACGATGTTTTGAAACCACGAACCCCCCCCCCCCCACCCCCACATTTCCCCCATATTAACTGAAGATATGAAGTAGCAGCGAAAATACTTGTATGGTTGTCGGTCACCATAACCTGAGGGACTGTATTAAAGGGTCACCACAACCCGAGGGACTGTATTAAAGAGTCACCACAACCCCAGGGACTGTATTAAAGGGTCACCACAACCCGAGGGACTGTATTAAAGGGTCGCCACAACCCGAGGGACTGTATTAAAGGGTCACCACAACCCGAGGGACTGTATTAAAGGGTCACCACAACTCCAGGGACTGTATTAAAGGGTCACCACAACCCTAGGGACTGTATTAAAGGGTCACCACAACCCGAGGGACTGTATTAAAGGGTCACCACAACCCGAGGGACTGTATTAAAGGGTCACCACAACCCTAGGGACTGTATTAGAGGGTCGCCGCGTTAGGAAGCTTTGAGAGCAACTGATCTTGGAAAACAAATTCAATAACAGTATATGTAGGTAAAGTGTCTGTTATATGGTCTTTCTAGCCTGCCTGCGTGTTCAGCTGCACTTTTTCTAGATGCCTCACAATTCGCTGCCTCGCTTTAGAGTGTCGTTCACCATACAGTCTGATCGTGTAGAGCAGCCTCCCATGTGTCAGGGCTCATCCTGAAGCTTTCAAGTGATGCCTTTGGCGTGTCCGTGACGCATTTTTGTCCCCCTGGCTACCATGAGAGCGTCTACCCTCTTAAAAGAAAACTGCGTGAATGAAAAAAAATATGATGTTTTTTATGAAAAAGGCCCATGCAGACTGCAAAACCCCAAGCCGTGGCTCACTTAGCTTATTTCCTAATCCGGTAGAGTAAGAGACCCTATTCTACGCCTTCAAGCGTACTGGGTGTACAGGGCTAGACAAATTTATATTTCAGACCAGTCGGCACTTGCTGGGGGAGGTGGTCAGCATCACGCCGGTCGCCTTTACTTCCCAGGACTTTACCTGGTACACAGTCAGGTTAAGCAATAATGTACACGGTGTGACTATTGTTTTTGTAAGCTTTTATTAAGTTTGAAATGATTTTTTTGCAACTGGTACTCTGAATTTCAGAGTATTCTGGCAGCAATCATCATCGTTTCGCTGAAAGGACTGTTAATGCAGTTCACAGAACTCAAGCGTTTGTGGACAGTTTCAAAAGTGGATTACGTAAGCCGCACAATGTGATCGTTTGCTTGTTGTGTAGATCAGTTTTCTGTTACTATTTGAATATATGTATGTCGATAGGCTAATCGATGTGTCTGCCAGTATGTCTGTATATTTTTCTGCTATCAGCCGATTAACACGTGTCGGCATTATGGGACAGCAAGCAAGCGTCTAAACGTTTTTGCTTACTTTCCCGTCTGGGTTCCAGGGGGAGGAGGTTGAGTAGACACACAGGCCTTACAAGTATATAGTATAAAATCGATTAATTAAGAATTTTCTCTTAGAAGTAGGAGTGCATTTACCAGAGAATCAAGGAACAAAGTCTGCATACTAATGAGCCAGATTTGTAAAAGATGTGAGCACAAAACCTCCAATTTCTGGAACAAGGCCAAACTCCAGAAGCGTTAAACTTAAAGCTATTATAACTTTCCATCAGAGATTACAGGTAGACGCCTGCAAGAAGAAGAAGAAGAAGAAGAAGAAGAAGAAGAAGAAGAAGAAGAAGAAGAAGAAGAACAAGAACAAGAAGAACAAGAAAAAGAAGAACAAGAAGAAGAAGCAGCAGCAGCAAAAAAAAAAAAAAAAAAAAAAAAAAAACAGCAAAAAAAAAAAAAAAAGAAAGAAAAAAAAAAGACGAAAACGAAGAAGCAGCAGCAGCAAAAGACATTGACGAAGACAAAGCCAACGACGAAGAAGAGAAAAACAAAGAAAAAGAAGACAAAAGAATAAGATGACGAAGAAGAAGACGAAAATTAGGACAGAGACGAAGAAGACGAAGAAGAAGAAGAAGAAGAAGAAGAAGAAGAAGAAGAAGAAGAAGAAGAAGAAGAAGAAGAAGAAGAAAAAGAAGAAGAAACAAGAAGAAGAAGAAGAAGAAGAAGAAGAAGAAGAAAGAAGAAAAAGAAGAAGAAGAAGAAGAAACAAGAAGAAGAAGAAGAAGAAGAAAGAAGAAAAAGAAGAAGAAGAAGAAGAAACAAGAAGAAGAAGAAGAAGAAGAAGAAGAAAAAGAAGAAGAAGAAGAAGAAACAAGAAGAAGAAGAAAAAGAAGAAAGAAGAAAAAGAAGAAGAAGAAGAAGAAACAAGAAGAAGAAGAAGAAGAAGAAGAAGAAAGAAAAAGAAGAAGAAGAAGAAGAAGAAGAAACAAGAAGAAGAATAAGAAGAAGAAGAAGAAGAAGAAGAAGAAGAAGAAGAAGAAGAAGAAGAAAAAGAAGAAGAAGAAGAAGAAGAAACAAGAAGAAGAAGAAGAAGAAGAAGAAGAAGAAGAAGAAGAAGAAGAAGAAGAAGAAGAAAGAAGAAGAAGAAGAAGAAGAAACAAGAAGAAGAAGAAGAAGAAGAAGAAGAAAGAAGAAGAAGAAGAAGAAGAAGAAAGAAGAGAAGAAAAAGAAGAAGAAGAAGAAGAAGAAGAGAAGAAGAATAAGAAGAAGAAAGAAGAAAGAAGAAAAAGAAGAAGAAGAAGAAGAAACAAGAAGAAGAAGAAGAAGAAGAAGAAGAAGAAGAAGAAACAAGAAGAAGAAGAAGAAGAAGAAGAAGAAGAAGAAGAAACAAGAAGAAGAAGAAGAAGAAGAAACAAGAAGAAGAAGAAGAAGAAGAAGAAGAAGAAGAAAAAGAAGAAGAAGAAGAAGAAGAAGAAGAAGAAGAAGAAACAAGAAGAAGAAGAAGAAAGAAGAAGAAGAAGAAGAAGAAGAAAAAGAAGAAGAAGAAGAAGAAACAAGAAGAAAAAGAGCAATCAGAACACCTTGATCACAATACGCGTATATCGACGATGTATCAGCTCCTTCGGTTCGAAAAGTTTCTGGCAGCCACATTTGGCCCGCGGTCCGCTAGTTGAAAAGACCTGGCCTACACTTATTTGCAGCGTTTATCCTGGTGGTTATAACGATGATAGGGATGATAATGATAATAATATCATTAAACAAAATAAACCATAATGTGTACAACATCTTTATGGTTATATTTAGTTTGGACGAGTAGAAGTATATCATAGATGAAACCGAGAGGATGATGGGATGCGGCTTAGCGAAGAATCCTTAGACCCGCCTAGATAGAGGAAAAGAATATTGAAGATGCTTTTGACATAAACTAAAGTGACAAAATCAGGGCAGTAGCTAACTTGAAGACATTTGAAAGGCACAAACTGAAGACGTCTTGATCAAGATTGACTAAAAATGTCTTGGTTGGGGAAGAGGGCGGGAGGGGGGGGGGGGGGGGGGGGGGGGGGGAGGGCTGAGTAAAAATGTCCCCATAGACATGACCTAATTTGACATTAAGTAATTGGAAATGTTCTGTTATAAACTAAGTGACGTCATGAGTAAATGAAAACTGCAAAATTCTAGAATATTAGAAAAAATGGAGGGAGAGAAAGAAAGAGAGCGATAGATGGAGAGAAAAAGCAAGCGACAAAGAGTGACTAAGGAAGAAAGAGTGATGGAGAGAGAGATAAAAATACATTTAGAGAGAAAGAAAGAAAGAGTGAGAGAGAGCGAGAAAGAGGGAAAAGACAGAGAGTGAGAGAAAGAGAGAAAGAAATAGAAAGAAAGAGAGAGAGAGAGAGAGAAAAAAGAGAGGGACAAAGAGAGAGAGAAAGATACAGAGAAAAATAGAAAGAAAGCAAGAAAGAGGGATACAGGGAGAGAAGGAGATAAATAAAGAGAGAAAGAGAGAGAAAGAGAGGTAAAGAGAAGTAAAGAGAGAGAGAGAGCGATAAATAGAGAGATTGTGAGCGAGAGAGAGAAACAGAAAGAAAGTGTTTGTGAGAGAGAAACAGAGACAAAGAGAGAAAGAGTGTGAGAGAGAGAAAGTGACAAAGAGTGAAAGAGAGTGAGGAAAAGAAAGAGAAAGAGGAGATAGAGAAAGAAAAAGGAGATAGATAAAGAAAGAGAACGAAAGAGACATAAAGAGAGAGTGAAAAAGAGAGAAAGAGAGTGGGTGAAAAAAAAACACGAATTCTCAAACTGACCGACGATTCGAATTTGGCTCTCCGCATCGCAGCCGTGTTCTTAACCGTTCGGCCAGCCACTTCTCCTTGGCTAAGGCCACTTGCAAAAAAAAAAAAAAAATCTTCTTTATTGTCCACCACTGTTGAACTCTTTCAGTACCAAGCAGGTTTTTATTTAATTTATTCTTTCCCCATAACATGTTTACTTATAGTAGTTTATATTGATACACAATGTGCTAATATAATAACATTTTCAGCCAAAAGGAGTTAAACTCACAACCTGGGCAGTGTGGGTTAGTTTAGCACAGCGGTTCTCAACCTTTGAGTCGCGACCCTTTTGTGGGTCCAACGACCCTTTTACAGGGGTCGCCTAAGACCATCGAAAAACACATATTCATTGAAGTAGCTACGAAAATAATTGTATGGTAGGAGTCGCCACAACATGAGGAACTGTATTAGAGGATAGCCACAACATGAGGAACTGTATTAGAGGGTCGCCACAACATGAGGAACTGTATTAGAGGATAGCCACAACATGAGGAACTGTATTAGAGGATCGCCACAACATGAGGAACTGTATTAGAGGATAGCCACAACATGAGGAACTGTATTAGAGGATAGCCACAACATGAGGAACTGTATTAGAGGATAGCCACAACATGAGGAACTGTATTAGAGGATCGCCACAACATGAGGAACTGTATTAGAGGATCGCCACAACATGAGGAACTGTATTAAAGGATCGCCACAACATGAGGAACTGTATTAAAGGATCTCCACAACATAAGGAATTTATTAAAGGGCTGCCACAACAGGAAGAACTCTATTTAAGGGTTGCTACAATGCGAGGAGCTGTATTAAAGGGTCGCCACAACATGAAGAACTCTATTTAAGGGTTGCTACATTACGAGGAACTGTATTAAAGAATTGCCACAACATAAGGAATTTATTAAAGGGTTGCCACAACAGGAAGAACTCTATTCAAGGGTTGCTACAATACGAGGAACTGTATTAAAGGGTCACCACAACACGAGGAACTGTATTAAAGGGTCGCCACAACATAAAGAACTGTATAAAAGGGTCGCCACAACATGAATAACTTTATTAAAGGGCCGTCAAAACAGGAGGAACTCTATTTAAGGGTTGCTACAATACGAGTAGCTGTATTAAAGGGTCGCCACAACATGAGGAACTGTATTAAAGGGTCGCAACAACGTAGGGAACTGTATTAAAGGGTCGCCACAACATGAGGAACTGTATTAAAAGGTCGTCACAATACGAGGCACTGTATTCAAGGGTCGCCACAACATGAGGAAGTGTATTAAAGAGTCGCCACAATACGAGGAACAGTATTAAAGGGTCGCCATAACACAAAGAACTGTATTAAAGGGTCATCACAACACAATGAACTGTATTAAAGGGTCGCCACAACATGAGGAACTGTATTAAAGGGTTGCCACAATACGAGGCACTGTATTAAAGGGTCGCCACAGTATGAGGAACTGTATTAAAGGGTCGCCACAATACGAGGAACACTATTAAAGGGTCGCCACAACACGAGGATCTGTATTAAAGGGTTGTCACAACATGAGAACTGTGTTAAAAGGGTCACTACAACACGAGGAACAGTATTAAAGGATCGCCACAATACGAGGAACAGTATTAAAGGGTCGCCACAACATGAAGAACAGTATTAAAGGGTCGCCACAACATAAGGAACAGTATTAAATTGTCGCCACAACATGAGGAACTGTATTAAAGGGTCGCCACAACACGAGGAACAGTATTAAAGGGTCGCCACAACATAAGGAACTGTTTCAAAGGGTCGCCACAACATGATGAACTGTATTAAAGGGTCGCCACAACATGCGGAACTGTATTAAAGGGTCGCCACAACATGAGGAACTGTATTAAAGGGTCGCCACAACATGAGGAACAGTATTAAATTGTCGCCACAACACGAGGAACTGTATTAAAGGGTCGCCACAACACGAGGAACAGTATTAAAGGGTCGCCACAACATAAGGAACTGTTTCAAAGGGTCGCCACAACATGATGAACTGTATTAAAGGGTCGCCACAACATGAGGAACAGTATTGAATTGTCGCCACAACATGAGGAACTGTATTAAAGGGTCGCCACAACACGAGGAACAGTAATAAAGGGTCGCCACAACATGAGGAACTGTATTAAAGGGTCGCCACAACACGAGGAACAGTATTAAAGGGTCGCCACAACATGAGGAACTGTATTATAGGGTCGCCACAACATGAGGAACAGTATTAAAGGGTCGCCACAACACGAGGAACTGTATTAAAGGGTCGCCACAACATGAGGCACTGTATTAAAGGGTCGCCACAACATGCGGCACTGTATTAAAGGGTCGCCACAACATGAGGGACTGTATTAAAGGGTTGCTACAATACGTGGCGCCGGCGTAATGCTGACCACATTACCCACCGAGTGCTGATGGTCTGTAATAATATGGGCGCTCTTCCCATATTCCCGATACGCCTAAAGGCGTGCGAAAGGGATCTTTACTTTTTACTTTACTTACAATACGAGGTACTGTATTAAGGGGTCGCCACAACACGAAGCACTGTATTAAAGGGTCGCCACAATACGAGGCACTGTATTAAAGGGTCGCTACAATGCGAGGCATTGTATTAAAGGGTCGCCACAACATGAGGAAGTGGATTAAAGGGTCCCCACAATGCGATAAACTGTATTAAAGGGTCGCCACATTAGGAAGATTGATAGCCACTGTTGTAACACCTGGATGTGAGGTAAAGGACGCTCTTCTCACGAATTCAGGTATACTGGGTATTTAATGCTAGCCCTGTGTATTATGAATCAATCGGCACTCGGTGGGTGATGTTGTCAACATAACGCTGACCGCCTTTACTTTCCAGGAATTTACCTGGTAGCCGTCGAAATGAAGACTGACTCGGCTGGGAGCTATGGTCAATTTCTTTTTTTTTTTAAAGTCTGGCTTTGTTTAAATTTGAAATTCGGACCTTCGGATCCGCAGGCTCAACCGCTACAACTCAGCGCCTCCTGGCTGCTGTATACGAATGGGAAATAATGAATACTGTAAGAAGAACCCAACAAACGCTTGGCGAGTTGATTTGTGCGGGCTGAGTTAGGGATCGTTGACAGAGCCTGGGCAAAAGCACTTAGGGGACCATTAGCTTGACCTGGAGATAAACTGTGGGTGCTACTTTGTAGCAAAGACAGCTCTTCTCTATTCTTCTTCTTAACGTTCAGCCGCTGTAAACTCCGGTGGACAGTTTGGTTGTTCGTCCCTTCTGGACTTTTGGTCTATATCTGTTTTACAGATATAGCTTATTTGTGTGCTTCCTCTTTATGAGACAGTCTGTTGCTATTGCTGTGTGTATCTCTGGGCTATATGATTGTCTTAGAAGTTGACGAGGCTTATCTGAAATTAGCGGGATTTCTTTTTTTTGGGGGGGGGGGGAGTGACGTGGGGGGGGGGGGGGTTGGCGTGGGGGGGGGGGGGGGGGGGGGGAGAAACAGCAGGTGTTGGTTTATAATGGAAGAACTGGAAACACCTTTAGAATGACCAGAAAACTTGCCCCATTTACTTTTATTTTCTGACATCAACTCTCTTTCGTACTGGTAAAGATACACTTTTGAGTCTTCATAATTTATCTATTTACTGTGTTCATATTTTGGTATTAAGGTTATATACATTTTTATAGTTATTCAAATGTATGTATCACAATTTTTTAGAGGAAAAAAAAATAACATCAGTAGTAGAGAGACAAAAAAACGAATTCAGTTCTAGCACCCGTCTTGATATATACGATTATATATAAGTGTGACTTCAGGTTGCTGTTTGTGTTTCATCGGTTCAATTTAATTTGCAGACTGTGTGGCTGGTAACTTTTGTCGCTACTGTCTTTCTGGACGTTGATCTGGGACTCCTTATAGGACTTATCTACAACATAGTGCCTATCCTGCTACGAACACAACAGTAAGTTGTACTGTGTTGTACCGCCTGGGATCTTGATCCAGAGGCAAAGCCGGGCGATTATTCTATAACATTGTCAGTGGTAAAATGGTTTGAGAGAGAGGAGAAAGAGAGAGAGATAAGAAAGAGAGAGAAAGAGAGAAAGGGAAAGAGAGGGAGAGAAAGAGAGAGAGAGAGAGAGAGAGAGAGAGAGAGAGAGAGAGAGAGAGAGAGAGAGAGAGAAGACTTTACGCAACACTGTATACTGTTTTTGGTTTTTCTAGGCTATTTTCAAGTTCGGTAGATTGTCTCTACTTTCAGCACTGCCTAGCGTTCATACCATTGTCAAAACCAGTGCAACGCGGTATGCTGCCAAATCACACGCGTCCCAGGCGTTAAAAAATAGACAGACCGATTGCCTGCTTCCGCATGAGTAAATGATGAAATTATAAATAATAAGCTAGATATAGTCAGGGCCCTTTAGGAGCAAGGCAACGACCCGCAGGCACAAACTTATCATTATAAATCTGGAGCAAATGGTACAGCTAGGAGTGACCAGGCGATCTATGAGCTGCGTGGTCTCGAGGCATGGTGTCCGCCTCGAGTGCCGGAGGTTCCGGGTTGAATCCTCGGTAAGGGCTGGAATTTTTTCACGTGAACTTGGAATTCTAGTAATTCCCTCTAGTCTCTGGGTAGTGTGCATTGTTGTGCACGTAAAAAAATCCCTTGGCAGTAGGAAATCGAGTTGGGAGTAGTCTGACGGCGCTGCCCGGGCAAAATTTGAAGTTAAAATCTACCCAAAGTATTTCAGAATCCTTGCCGTGTGTGTGTGTGTATGTATGTCTTTTTCTTTTTGCATCAGAGAGAGAAAGAGAGAGAGAGAGAGAGAGAGAGAGAGAAAGAAAGAGAGAGAGAGAGAGAGAGAGAGAGTTTGTAAAAGAACAAACGAAAAAGATGTCATAAACATTTCATATATGAGCTGTTAATAGTTAACTGCTTCTAAGTAAACAGAGTACGTTCATTATTTGCATAATCATCATCATCACTAAGATCATCATGTTACATCTAGAATATATTAGGACACGCACAGAAACGACTGAAAGACTTTGGATGGTAACCCTTAAGATAATACTCAAGTTAAAGTGGCAGTAATAGGGAGAACAAAAATCTTCTTCTTCGCATTCACCAGCTGTAGATTTTGGCAGAAAGTTCTGGTTGTTCGTCCATTACTGCACTTTAGTCCTGTTCTGGAACTTGAGTTTTGCGAGCATATCTGTTTTAAAAATCTAGCAAAATTTAATGATAATAAAAAATATTATTAAGGCGGTGTAGGGAAGTTCAGAATGTGCAGTGCAAACAGATGATAGATGACGGTTTGAGTTATTGGTTTGAAGTTTATACTTAAATGAAACAGGGATGAATTTTATCTTCCCTGCTATTTGGTAAAAATATTCATCACTTGAAATGTAATTAGTGGAAGAAAATGGAGATGGCTTGAACATGTTTGCTGAAAACGTTGTGAAACTTTGGCAACGACAACTTTCCAGTGGACGGTAGATGGAAAAGGGGGAACATGGTTGATCGAAGGAAATCTGGAGAACGACAATATCAATGGCAATGAAAAAATACAAAAAGATACGGGATACAATAATCAGGAAAGCAGCAAACCGGTAGCAGTAAAGGTCAACTTGATTCCCAGGTCGACTCAGCCTTGAGTCGGTGCCAGATGCAGTCCCGGGAAGTAAAGGCGGCGAGCGTGATGCTGACCACATCACGCATCTTGCGCCGATTGGTTTATAAAAATATAGGTCTAGCCCTGTATGCCCTATACGCCCAAAGGTGTGGAAAAAAGGCCTTTACTTACTGTACTTACTTACATTAGCTAGTTACAGTTATAACCTAAAGATCGCCTTTTGGGGAATTCTGGTTAAACATAGCAATTTTTTTTTAAATTTCTTTTTGGAGCGAATCAGCGGAACGACGGAACATAGACTGTCGATTAAATGTGTATTTAATTTCAAATATACAGTACCAGACCAAAGGAAAGAAATTCATTAATTACAATGTTATTTTTGTCTTCACGCTTTAGGCCTTACTGCTGCCTTCTCGGCAGACTGCCAAACACAGACGTTTTTGTTGACAGCAAAGTTCACCTAGAAGTAAGTCAGTTTTTTTTTTGTTTAAATTTTATCCTGATCTTCCACGTTAACTCTAACTGTGATTTTCTTTTCCTAGTCGTTTTCATGTAAGTGTATGATTAAAATGTGACGCTGTGTGAAACTTCTTGACCATAGACTGGACTTCTTTTGAACTGATCCAGGCTTCCAGGTCAATGCAGTCTAAAGTATTTATGGAGGAAATGTATTGAGAAGTAAATGCGCCCAGTGTGCTGTTGGCCACATCATCTAACAAGGAACCTTTGTTCTGTAACAGTTGATCCCAGCCGGTGCTCTGCGGAGCCCTAGGGGGTTTGCGTGCACTACTCGGGAGCTGCGCTCCGGGAGAATAAATAAAAATTGAAAGTCTCGCCTTTCCCTTGAATGTTGAGCGTCGGCTAGATCCTCTGCTAACTCTCGCATTCTTCTCAGACCGCAATGATCTATTTGTGCCTCAGCACTGCTCACTCGCTCCCAAAGGCCCTCACAGCATCTAGCTTGTCATACGTCAGTTCATCAGCACGTGGTGCAGAACCAGCCAGTCTATGTGTTCATTTCCCAACACACAGACACAACTTGGAGACAAAAATATCCAATGGACATCACAGAGATGAATGGAGGCAGCAATGGACCTCAAGGGCTGGGAGTGCTAAAGAAGATGAGGAAGACATCTTTGGGATCGACTGACCCACGTAAAATACCTGCCAGACAATTTCCTAACCTTAGACGACAAAGGTTAGACGACAAAGCCATCGCGTTTGATAAATAGCCAAAATATTTCAGTTTTTTCGACAAATGTTGTTTACCATCCAAATGTCCTTGATCGTTAGGATGTCAGGTTTTATGTTCATCTGAGTCGATGGTATTCTGAGAACACAGATAGTACATGTACAATGCCTAGACCAGTGTTTCCCAAACTCTTCTTAGTCGAGGCGCCTTTTTTTTCAATTAAAATGTATCCACAGTACCCTAACCTAAGTCAAAGTATGAGTATACTTATGTAAGAGATTTAAAAAAAAAAAACAACAACTCGTGTATCTTCGAATATTTCGCGGCGCCCTTGTGAAGAGGTTGCGGCTTCCCCGGGCGCCGCGGCGCAGTTTGGAAATCACTGGCCTTAACAATAAATAGTGCTATATATGGTGTGTGTCTTTTTGGTTTAAATGTTATATTAATATAAGTCATTAATACAACCTTTGAATCATTTTTATAACAGGCGGTCCCAGTGCCCGGAATTAAAATTTTCAAATTCGAAGCTCCACTGTACTTCGCTAACATGGATAACTTCAAGGCTGCGTTAATCAGAGAGACTGGGATCAATCCCCATTCCCTCAAACAGCTCAAAGCGCAAATGAAGGATTCAGATATGACACTGAGACACCGCGAGGTAAGCCAGCTATTTGCTTGCTTGTTTTCTTGTGCTTTTTTTTTTTTTTAGGATTCGTGTTTTTTAAAAACCATCCTCTTAACAGTTTTTGTTATTTATATATCTGTTTGTTTTCTAAAGAAGCGACAAGGTGAGTGCCCAGAGCGTTAAAATAACATACAGGAGACACGGGTTCGATCCACGATAAGGGATGGAGATTGTATTTGATGACGTCAACAACAACAAACAAGTTTATAACTTCAAGCATGAGGATATGATGGTGCTGGTCACAATCTGGTTGTATCCATCTTGCCTTAGAAGTCCACGCTTAGTAAATGGGATGGAGAAAAGGAAAACAAGGCGACAGTGAAAAGCTCAAATGTTTTCCTACTCTAGGTTTGGTCGGCTCTGTGGCTAAGTCAATGCGAACGCTTCGTAATGCCGGGGTGACGGGTTCGATCCCAGAAAAGCCACATTTCTCCCAGATTTACGGTATTTATCATGGAATCAAGACCGAAGGGTTGCGATATCCATAGTACCGAGCCAAAGGGTTAAGAACTCATGGTTTCTGGATATAAAAAAAATGCTTATCACTTGTTATGTTCTACCGTTTATTTTCATATTTTTTTCACGTTTTCTATCAATTGTCAGGTTTGCATGGCAACATCGGACACTTGGCCAAACGAGCCGTGCGAGAGTCACGAGCAAGAGCGACCACTGGGCAGCCGACCATTCCCTGCCAACTGCGAGAGCTTCGCTATTATCATAGACGGGTCATCAATTCAGTATGTGGATAGCGTCACAGTTCGAGTGCTCAAGGAGGTATTAATGCTCCCCCTTGATTTAATGACAGCTATCATCTAACCTACATGTAAACGTTTATGTGTTTCTTAGAATTTGGCTTGCAAAAAGTTTACACCTGTATGAGTTGAGTTAGAGCCATGGGAGGTATCTCCCGTATAGGTGGTGGTGGTTATTTTTACGATGGTCTCTCCATTTACACACTACCGGTTGTAGGTCAACTCTATTGATAAGCTGCTGGTTGGGCTAGTCTACCATGGTAAGGTTATAGGCGTCGCAGTCTGTTGTTGTCTGGCATTTACGATTTTATTTCTGAGAAAGAGACGGCCTGTGATATAGGTTTTGTCACTCTCTAGGGGGGTTGTGTATTAGACCCAGTATCTAAATGTTTTAGAAGTGTTAAAAACTCTTTTATGGTGAAATATAAAACACGCGGTATAAGCGGGAGTGCGAAATATCCCCGTGACCTTGTGTGAAAGTCGGATCGTTCGAGGCCGACCTATCAGCCATGAGGTGGTCAGTAGGTTGTCCAATCAGAAGCGAGCTAGTGTGTAGCTGTGTGTAAATGGCAAGACCAGCGTAAAATTTACCACGGCGGCCACATCCTTATATCGCAACTTTGTCTTATCACAGGCAGTTCATAAACACAAAATGTATTGATCAAAAGTTTTTATGCCAAGTCAACACGTGATCCGGTCTCATTGAAAAAGAAAGAAAGAAAGAAAGAAAGAAAGAAAGAAAGAAAGAAAGAAAGAAAGAAAGAAAGAAAGAAAGAAAGAAAGAAAGAAAGAAAGAAAGAAAGAAAGAAAGAAAGAAAGACAGAAAGAAAGACAGAAAGAAATAGAAAAATGAAATGACAAAAAGAAGAAGGAGGAGGAGGTTGTCCAACACGAGGAGGGACAGAAGACTACCAAGGAAGAAAGAAGACTGAAATGCTGAGATTAAACATGTCAGAGTGGAACTATATGGTGAATGATAGAAAGTTAACGCAACAGGCAATCAGCCAGGAGTTCAAATCTCATCTTCAGTAATCAAGTTAGGTAGAACTCCAGATAAAACAGATCGAAAGAAGAGTTAGTTAGTTTTAGGGACACATTTTGTTTTCAGAATTAAAGGGAGTTTAAAAAAAAAATAGCTATGACTAGAAGATCACTCCAAACGTGAGTGCGTACCAGTACCACTCGTCGCCTCCGGGCGTTCATCTGAAAGTTCTGACACACTGGGATCACAGTGTCTCAATCCAAATGTTGAGTCAAGAATCCGCATCATAGCACTGGGAACCCTCCCATAAATGCCCTGTCCCAATCTTCAGCAGCAAGCGAAGAGTTCCAGTTCAGGTGGCGCGAGTGTCTGTCTGATTGTACATCCGTCTCGTCTTTCCATTAAATGTCTGAATACGAATGTCAGACCCACAAGGCTAATCTAAGGTAACTCGCTCAGTTTCCTTAGAAGCTTTAATTAGGGCACCCGATCCGGCAACGAAAGCCTGGTGTAACTTGTAGTCCCATGCGGGTAAGGAGACGTGATGAAAATTGGTGCTCAGTTAGACAACACATGTCTGCAGTTAGTTTGCAAACCAGAACACTTCAGTATATCAGGTAATTAGATAATCGCAGTCTAACTAAAGTGCCATGACAGACTTGAAAAAAAAAATAATAGAAGAAGGCATGGTACAAACTGCAGGGGCCGACCAACACGAAGATGGGCACAGAATTTAAATGACAACTTGAATATGAAAGCACACAATTGGGCGAGCTAGCAAGAGATCGAATTTCTTTTGGTCAGACCGTGTTGAGAGCGACGTTCTACAAAGGACCTGCTTCATGATGATGATAGGTCTCAACTTTGCCTCAACCAGGTCATCCCATAGCTGCGCCTTTCCTGCGCCAACGGCAATCACACAGAATGTCTATCACTGTCTCTTTAAAAAAAATCTGTACTGTATAAAGTAAATGTAAAGTCGGGAGATGTGAACCAGCGTCATTGCACACGGTTATAAACCATAAGTGCTCTGCCACCAGTACGGACAGCGACATTCCTCAGTTTACCCCAGAGTGTCCACTCCGGTATCCATTACCGAGAGGCTGGGTGAACCCTGGGAACCGCCCGGTTTCGAACACCGACCGTGGCTGCAGCGAGTCGCAGCTGGATTTGAAAGTGAGTCTTGTATCGACTGTACTGTATATGAAACAAGCAGCCACAACAATTGTTAAAAAGCTTCCCCTTGACCTACGCAATCTCTGTGTTGTTGCAAATACAGCGTGTCCTGTAATCAATGATTTCAGTGTGTTCTTTAAAAGCATGAGTTCCCAGACTAAGTACATGGTTGTATGTTACTTTCATAGATTGTGCTGGAGTATGCCGAGGTCGATATCGACGTGTACCTTGGAGAGTGCAAAGGTAATAAGCTACTAATTACTGATTTAGTAATGATTATGCAAGCTTTACAATATTTAATGTAATTCTTCTTTATATTCAGAAGCGAAAAAAAAATAAGAAGTTGGGAAGAAGAAAAGGAAGAAGAAGAAGAAGAAGAAGAAGAAGAAGAAGAAGAAGAAGAAGAAGAAAAAGATGAAGAAAAAGAAGAAGAAGAAGAAGAAGCAGCAGCAGTAGCAGAAGAAGAAGAAAAAGAAGAAGACGAAGGTAATAAAAACAAAAACAAAAAGCAGGCGGGAGAAAAGAAATATTTCAGGAACACCGTTTATTGTCACGCCTTCTACAGACTGGTCCAAAATGAAAGATTGTCACGCATCGCTGATTACTCAGCGCCAAGACGGACGTGACGTCTTAAAACAAGCCAATTCCTAATTCCACAAAAAAGTGGTGCTTTCTATTAGACTTCCACGTGCATGTGGGTGTTTTGTGGCCTATACATTTGGCAGTGATTTTTGAAACAAGCATACCGGGAGAATGGAAAAGACAGGCGCAAGTAGAATTTAACGTTTCGACCAAAGTCTTTATCAACGAATTACTAAAGACAAACAAACTTTGACTAGATAACTCAACAGACAGAGCTAGATTTGGAAGTTTTATGGGCACTCGCTGTTTGATGTGGTCAGCACCACACTGGCCGCCTTTACTTACCTGGACTTTACCTGGTATCCATTTGAGATTAGGTCGACTTGGGAGCCGATGTCAATTTTTAAAAAAAGTTTAATTTGGTTCGGATTTGAACCCACGACCTTCGGAAATACAGACATGAGTTCAACCGATACCCTACGGCTACTCCCGTTGTAATTAGCACTGCTTATTAACTCTTCTGGTCACCTTTTCTTCCCAGACAATTCACTCCAAAATAATTCTGGAAATTATCTGTCACCCACATTATTTTAGGTGAACAAATCCGGTCGGTTCTAGGATTCAACCTAATTTCTTCTCAAACAAAGACTGTAGCCACCATGCCACGCTAGTATGATTATTAAAATGTACAACCAAAACAATTTAACTATTCTGAAATAAGTGTAAATAAAAAAAAAAATAATCTGACAACAGTTATAAATATCGGACCGTTATGCTGTTTCTAGAATACAACTCAGAAATACGATAGATGTTTGATAAGTCAGTTCTTTTATGTTATACGTAATACACCTAAATAAACGCCGACGGGTGGGGGGGGGGGGGCGACCCTTGAGACCGTAATAACATTATATAAATAATTAACAGACAGTATATCAATCGGCACTCGTAGAAGAATACACTAGCTATAGGTACCATGGCGGGAATCAAATCAGTCCCTTCAAGATGACGTCTGCGCCTTGCTTTGGAAACAAGTGTGCAAAGACTAACTAGGCAACCCTAAAAATATGTTCTTATTAGTAATGTCTGACGTTTCCGTTAGGAAAAAAGGTGCCCGTGCTGACCATAAATCATCTTCAAAAAGGGCTGGTGTACTCACCACAAAATCTATTTTACAGTTGCCCTGGGAAAAAGCTGTACAAAGAGATGAATGTAGGGCGTACCACCAGATTACAAAAGAAACCACACACACCCACACCCACCCACCCACACACACCCACAAACACCCCACACCCATACACGCACACCCATACACCCATCCAGACATACACACCCAACCACACACGTTTATACATATGCACGTGTTTACATAACAACATGTGTCTGAATCAATATTTTGTCTAGCTCCCGTCCGTGTCATGCTGGACAAATCCGGGTTCTACAGGCAAGTTCCCAGACGAAACGTTTGTGCAACCATAGGTCACGCAGTCAGGGTCGCACAGAAGAGCGCTCTTTTGTCCAGAGAAGTAAGTTGTGCTTTAGCGCAATACCTAACACATTACATAAGGCTTGTAGACGAACGAGTCTTCTAACAGGTGTTCTGTCCTGTGAAAGTTTTCGATATCATCTAAGGAATCCGGTCCAGCAAGTTTGGCCTCTCCCAACAATGTTTGTCTTGGGGTTTCACTCGGATGTTCTAGTGTCCTTGATTCATTTGTTTCCCATTGCAATGCCCGCTTCTGCTCTTGATGTGCCCAGCATATTTGACCACCCTTCGTTTTCCTTGTAAATGTTTATGTAAGCGGTTGTCCAGACATGTCTCTTGAGTCTTCGTTTTTCATTAATTTCCATATAGTTCATCAGTTTGAATGCATGTTTCATTAAAAACAAAATCGTTATCTTCTTTCTTTCTTTCTGTTCACCGGCTGTGAATTCCGGCGAAAATCCTGTTTGTTCGTTCATTTGGACTCTGTCTTAGTGCCAGGGCCTGAGTTTTTCGAGTACATCCGTTTTACTGGCTAACTTGTATGCTGTTCTGTTCCCTGCCTTTCGTGCAGATGTACTCTGACTTTGATGGAAGACATTGTTCCTATCTCTAGGATGACTGTTGTCATTGTTACGTGGGACATAATGTTGCCTCATTTGTGTGGTGTCCTCTTTGTCCCCTTGTCTACAGATGTAGCCACTGGAGAAACCCTTTAAGGCAACCTCGTGTGGACTGGTCAGCCCTCAAGGGAAGGCAGGGGCATATCAAGGGCATGTCTCTGCCACCCAAGGAGGCTTCCATAAATGCAGAGCCGACACATGAGGTTCTGGTCCTGGGCTCATCCAAGGAATCATCACGTCCTGCACATGACTGCTTCACCTCACAGCCGTATGATCAGCTTTCCATCTGCATCACGTTAGACACCTTTATCGTTATTTCAACTGTGCCCTTAGCACGACAGTATGGAGAGACATGCACCAGGCATGAGTTTCCTTGTTTGGTCCCAACTCTTGGGTAAGCAGGACCAGAGGATACGGACATTTGAACCTTTTTGTCAATTAGTAGGATTTTTGCCGGTTGGGCATTGAGACTTTGCTTGTGGGCCTTTTGAGCCTAACCAGCAGACTGACATTGGCTGTCATGATGTAACTCAACGCGGTGACGACGACGTTGAGGGATGACAGTGGGTATAGGAAGACAGGATTTTATCGTGAGAAAACGCCCACATGAGATTTTGCTCTTTTAAGCTGCGGGCAAATCTCTTTGTCTAGGGACGCGTCTCAGCAGTTTAGTTTTCCTTTCACTTGACATACTTTTAACCGAGAGTTCATTTTTAGTGAGTCATTCGGCGAGCGGACTTTCCTCATGTTCAAAATGAGTTTTGACAGACGTTTTCACCCATGCATTGGGAGTGAGCTGATGAGAGTCAAAATGGGCCCTACATCTCTGGGAGCAACCAGCTCCTAGATCCCCTACCAGTTCTCTTAATGCTCATTAAAGAAATTATCCGTGGCGCACGACGGGGGACGTGCAGCAGGAGTCTTACATGAGGTTCCGTAAAACCAGAACAGAGAAGGCTGGCGCCCTAGGTGGGGTACGGAGTATCTCATTATACACTGCCCATCAGACTTAACCTTTCCTCATGCCTAGGACAAAAATCACCGCGCCCCGAATTAAATAAAAACTAATAAAAACTGTAGTACTAAAAAATGCTCAAAATGGTCACTATTGATTAGAACGAACTCTTACTGGGCAATGCTGGCGAAAGTGTCCATTGACATTGCTGCTTCAATTAATTAAGCTTCAATTTCTGAATTGTTACAATAGTGACTGTTTATTAAAAACAGTGCCAGTGACGAATTTAGCAAATGATACTAAATAGATTTTCATAGAGCACTCGAAATTGGGTGGATTATGTGGTCAACATCACGTCGGTCGCCTTTACTTCCCATGACATTATGGTATCCATTTAGGACTAGGTCAGCTTGGGTTGGTTTTGAAATGTGGCTAATTGCTGAAGTAATACGTGAATAACGAAGACAGTTATTTTTAAAGTGATTTTCTGTCTCTTCGTTGTCTTTTCCTTCCTGACTTTATCCACCACACATAAAGTATAGTCTTTCTGAGTCTCCCCTGTTTTAGTCTCCGGACTCCATGGGACGGAAATATACAACGTTGCCTTTCTGACCAATCATCTCTGTTGTCTTTCCTCTCCAAACTCCACACAGTACATACATAGCATTAATTTCCTAACTAGTTTGTCTCCTTTGTTTTTCCTCTCCAGACTCTATCCAGCACTAATAGAATATTCATGACCAGACCTAATGTCTTCCGTTTTTTGTCTCTACCCACCACAGATACAACGTTGTCTTCCTGCATATACAGTGTTGTCTTCTTGACTAATCGTCTCTCTTGTCTTTCCTCTCCAGATTTGACTCAAACATAGTATTAATTTCCTGACTAATTGTCTCTCTTGTCTTTCCTCTCCAGATCTGACACAAACATATTATTAATTTCCTGACTAATTGTCTCTCTTGTCTTTCCTCTGCAGACTTTGTCCAACACACTTAAAATACTGGTATCCTGGCCCCTGTTTTTATCCCCAGTATTTACCCAAAATACATACAATGTTGTGTTCCTAACTTATTGTCTGTTTCCCTGTTTCCCTTCCAGACTCTGTCCAGCACATACACAATGGAGCCTGAGGACTTCATAAAAGATGGAGAATTTGTTAAATTAGATTTGGAGACATCAGCAGAATCAATAGACAGGATCGCAACGGGACCAAACATTTAGCATATTTTACCAAAGAAAATGTCGAACAAGCAAATGGCCCTTAAAATCCAGTTTTTCTATCCTAGGCTACTTCGTGTAGCAGTAGCTTATACAATATAATGGGTGTATATGTTTGGACCATAGTGTTTGTGTTTTGTCAATGATTGATTGTCTTCTGAAATGTGATCCATAAGATCACATTACGTCAGGCTGTCAGTTTGCAATCAAGGAGTAGATAGGCTAAGCGCCTTCGCACATTTAGTACATAGAATAAAACGAGATAGACATAGATACAAGTGGGACGATTACATCGAGAGATGAACGAACGGCTGTCTGAAAGAGATTTACAGGGTTGAGAGTTACCACTTGAACTGAAAAGTTTTTTTTGTAAATTTAAAAAAAAAATGTAAATTCAATAATGCCTTGTTGTAGAGCTGATATTTCACGCTGGATAAAACGGTTAATGTCAACAGCATTGCTCTCTTCTGCTGTATTGTTGATGTTTTACTTAAAATTGTATCTTTCAAATTCAAGCATTATTTATTTAGATGTTTAAAGTAGTTGATATGTCATATTGAGCTTTTTTTTTTTGATAATTATCTGTTTTATGCCTTGATAATTTAATTGGATTTGTATGTGCATCTTGTATCAATTCTTATTTAAAAAAAAGAAAAAAAAAAGATACATAGATATATCTTATAAATGTTATAACTCAGTCGTAAGAACCTGTAAATTATGAGTTTTCTAATCGCGCAAGAGCCATTAAATTATTGTATGTTTTAGAACGGCATGATTAATATGACGACGGTCTAAAATTAGTGTATGATGAAATCAAGACACGCATCTGTAGACTAGTGTCAACGTTAGTCTTTCTCTGCTTATTTACCATCTTCCTTTCCTTTCCCAAACATTGACCTTCTAATTCCTAGCGCTCACCGGCTGTAAACTCTGGCAGAAAGTTTTTGTTGTTCGGTCACTTCTGGACTGTGGTCCTCTTCTGGAACCTGCGTGTTGCATGTGCATCCGTTTTACAGGTCTGACTCATTGGTTTGCAAACTGTTGGTTCCTCTCCTCTCAGACAAATGCACCCCCTAATTATTCACGTCTTACGACATGCTTTTGGTTTATTCTTACCCAGTCCACACCCCCAGTGGAATCTTAGAACCCCACCCCCAGTGGGATCTTAGAACCCCACCCCCAGTGGGATCTTAGAACCACACCCCTAGTGGGATCTTAGAACCCCACCCCCAGTGGGATCTTAGAACCCCTACGGGAATTCGATATCGATCCAAAACGAATAAATCCAATGTGACCAGTTCAATCTTTCAAAACAGTTCTGTAACTGGGCAGCTGGTCAACCAATGACTAGATCAAGTTACTTTAATGTTAGCTTGCAGTGCTCAAGTATGAATGACATCAGAGCCATATTATTAATTATTTAACTACCTTGTCCAGTCATTTAAATTTTTGGCATTCCCATTTTCCATGCAAGATTTTGTGCCTTTTAGGCGTTAACATACTCAGTTTGTGCCCTTTTAAATTGATTCTGGGGTACCGATTTAGCCTCCATTTGCATTTGGGGAGTTTAAAAAAAGAGGGAAGGGGGGAGGGGGGCATAGAAACTTCTCATGAAGTAATTTGATTTACAGAGCCTTTTCTGACAGTTATTGTAGGCTGAGTTGATCCGGGAGGTAAAAACCAACTTGCAAAGCTCACTTCGACGAAAATTTGAACTTATACCACCAGCCAAGAGGTTTTTTTTCACAGAGCCACCAGGGTTCTTTTTAGTTATTCTGCATAGCTGACATATTGTTATTCTTGTGTTATTTTCGCTGCATTCTTGATAATAAATGATTGATTTTGTCAATAACAATGATTCCACAGTAAATTAAAAAAAGGCAGTCCTACAATCGATAATATTGTGGTAATTTTAACATATTCTTCTTCTGATAGTTCTTGCCGTATGTCGTTGGTGGTCCACGATTGTCTCTCGTATGTACTTTCATTCATTTCTTTTCTGACACAGATGATCTTCATGCCATAATGTCAAACTGCCCAGCATTTTCTCTCTCTCTCTCTCTCTCTCTCTCTGTAGCCTTCTGCTTCTTTTTCCCTCTAACTTTCCCGCCGTCACGATGTGTCGATGTTTTCTCTATCTCGTGACACGACCAAAGGAAAGCCGTCTACTCCAGAGAAAGCATTGACCAAAGAATGTAGACTGTCTACCTCTGGTGTGGGCAGTTAGTTCTTTTTTGACAGTTTCTGTCAAGACATCAACATTACTCATTGTATCTGTCCAAGGTATTCTCATCACTCATCTATAAAATCACATATCCGTGGCTTCCACATAGGTTTTTGGCCAACTGTGCATGATTACTTCCATATATAAGGATAGGATTTATTTAGATTTGAAGAATTCTCTTTCTCACATCAGTTGACAGAAAAACTGCAAAAAATATTTTTGTAAACATTTTGTAAGCCACGAAATATGAAGTGAGAAGGCCAGTTCCCTTTCTTGTTCTATTTATTTCCCAAACAATGCCCAGCCAATTCGGGATACTGATTGCGTGTATTTGTATAAGGATTTGTTTATCAAAAGAATGTTTGTAGAAAGGATGAGGACTGAGCGTCTGAGAAGAAGCATACTAAATGCATATGATAGAAACAGCAGTCCTGTAAAATCGGGCTCTTATTGTAGAAAAAATGCTATAGAAAGATTCTCAGAACATCTTGGAGAAAGAAGAGGAGAAATATTGACATCTTAAAAGATCTGAACATCAAGGGAGATTGGCTAATAAACAGCATTCTTTCTCGGAAGCTGAAATATTTTGGTCATATCAAGCGGCACAACGGATTGGAAAAAAACTATAGCAGAAGGCATGGTACCAGGAAGGAGGGGCAGGGGCCGACCGACACGAAGATGGTCACAGGATATAAGTGACTCCTTGAGTATGAAAGTATATGAGGCAGGAGAACTGGCGAGAGACCGAATTTCTTTCAGGCAGACTGTGATGAGAGCGACGTTCTGCAAAGGACCTGCTACATGATGATGATGATGAATTGTGGGAAAACTCTTTTTAACGCAGGTTGGATTGCTAGTCACACTGGCTATCGCCATGGGCTGCAAGTCCCATGCCTCCTCATAGCAAAATATAACACTATCATCTATAAAAATAAAAATGTGCCAGTAGAACATTTGTATAAGGCTTTTTCGGCTTAAGAGCCGTACTGACCGGCCGGGAGAACTCGCTGACGTTTTCGGGAAAAAAATCCTGACTACTGTCTCTACGTGCGAGTGCGCTAACTTCTGTGCCACCGGGTTTTTTAACAGGAAACAATATCTACGGATGATTTAGCCTGTCATAGTCTTGCATGTCAAGGAACGTAGCTGTACGATTGATGTTGTACTGCTCATCTTTATTACATTCTGCATAACAAGTAGTCTATACAAATAAAGTATTTTTCATGTTGTTAAAGAGAATTGCTTGTTATTTATTTAAAGCTTATTGGGGCCTTGGGGGAGAACTTGTACATTTCGTGGGAGAAAGTGTACCATTCAGAGAAGCAAATGGATCAATAAAGTCTGGGGAGAGTGATGCAGCGGCCGGTATTGAGGGAGTCTGGCCGATGCTCGAGGCTCAGAGGAAAGGCAAGACGAACCTTAAATCATAATGCTACTGGCATCATTGGTATTGGAACTCTGCGCTGGCTGCTGAAGATGCGGACTGAGCGCTTACTGGAAAGCCCTGATTGTTGTGATGTCGAATCTTGAATCAATTCACTTCAGCTCGATGACGACGTTTGCCTATAACGTATTAGTAGCGTGAAGTCTATATTAGCAGTTCAAGCAATGTTCATAAGTAAAAATTATTACAATAAAATGTGATATTTATTTGCTTAATGCACAATGTATACATTAAATTAAAGGAGTTCTAAGCTAACGGATTAGATATGACCAACTTTAAGAAACACCTTTAAAGCGCGAGCGAGAAAAGATATCTAAAAATGAACTCTGTACAAAACCGTGTTGAGTGTCGTTTAACCCCATCGGGACCGCACAACCAGCGACAAACACGCGGTGACACAAAGTGCCACCATTCAAATGATAATCACCCGGGTACAAGTCTTAGAAACCCCGTTTAACTGTCCATCAAGACCGCACAACTAGCAACTAATAACGAACTCAGGCCCAGCTGCACCCAGCTACACACTAACTGACCTGTCATTGATGATTGGTTAGGCTAGTCTACTTTTGAGGGGTGTAGAATGCACTCTCTTGTGGGACCTAGGTTAAGTGTGTGGGGCAGGGGGTTTAGGGCCAGCTGTACATGTTATAGGATCGTTAAAATAGCTTACATCCTGTAATATAGACCATCCGTGGCCGCTGGTAAGATTGTCGAGATAAAACAACGTCTCACCAACCTGATATCCCTGCCACTTAAACTTACGCATCTCAAAAACGAACACGCATGAATGAACGTCCAATCACGCCCTGGCCCGACTTCATTACTCATAAGTGTGTATCTGGGCGGAGCTGGGCCGGAGTTCGTTACATGTTTCGGTTCTAGAAACCCCGTGCAACCGTCATGTTATATTAGGGCAACCAACAACAGCCAGGATGGGGCTCTATAATAAAAAATATATAAAATGCATCTCGTCGGCTCTGTGGCTAAGTCGATGCGAATGCTTCGTAATGCCGGGGTACCGGGTTCGATCCCAGCTGCGGGCCATACGCCTTGCATTGGTTTCGCCAGTGGTATCAGGGAGCCGACCGTCCAGAGACAATGGCAAACTACTGGAATGTAATATTTGCCTAGCGAAACCACAGAACAGCCAGGGGCTGATGGGGTTGGTTCTGCAACGTCCTGTAAAGGATACGCAACTAACCTAACCTAAAATACATCTCTGACATAGCTAATGAATGAACCGTGTGGAGCGGCCAGCCAGGAAATATAGCTGTTAACTCGCCCATCCAAGCAGTTCTTACAATGGTTCACTTAACACACTTTCTAATTTTTAGTGTTATGTTCAGGTTATGTTAAGTGTTAGAAATACACCGCCGTCACTGGCTATAGAAGTTGGAGAAGATAGGGAAGGATGTTATTACAGGATTGCGTACAGTTAAAAACAAAGGTCAGGCCATGCCACAGCTTTGAACTATTAAAGGGCTAGAAGGCAGAGATTTTCGGAGATAAGAAAAGTTTAGGTTTAGACGACGGATCAACATCATGGCACAACCCATAAGTGCTCCGTTCTACTTCTGACTCAAGACTAAGTCGAAGAATCTCAGCAGTGTACGAACTCCGTAGCACAGGCGAGGAAATACTTTTGAGTGGGTTTTTAACTCCACATTTTTTTCTGGGCAGCGCCGTTAGGCTACTTTTTCTTGATTCCTAGCTGCCAATGAATTTTTTTTACGTGCGCAACAATACACACGGGCGTCCTATCTTACTACCAAGAGACCAGGGAAAATTACTAGAAGTCCACGTGAAAAAGTTTTTACCCTTCACCGCGGCTTGAACCCGGGGCCTCGAGCACTCGAGCCGGACGCCATGGCTTGAGACCTCGCAGCCCCTCAGAAAAAGGAAATGATGGTTTATTAGTGATTCAGACAGCTCACTTTCTCAGATCTCGACTAAAACTGAGAAAATTCGTGTGATGCTCCGCATATTTATAATCCATGTACGGTTAAAGAAAATAAAAAATAAAGATCCCTTTTCACGCCTTTCGGCGTATCGGGCATATGCAGAGGGTCCCATATTTTGTACAGACCAATCGGCACTTGGTTGGTAATGTGGTCAGGATTACGCCGGCCGTCTTTACTTCCCCAGGACAGTCATCCTGGTACCTATTTGAGACTGGGTCGACCTGCGACGTCCCATACCACGATAAAAATCTACGCAGCCCGCAGTGGGTTTCGATCGCGGTACGTTGGATTACGAGTCGGACTCGCAACGCCTTAGCCTCAGACGATGTACGGTTAAAATCGAATAAATTCAGATAGGTCACAACTCATAATAGAGACAATCTCATAATTTAAAAAAAGGGGGAGGGGGACCCCCCTTCCTCGACAAGAATAATTATAACATGTATGATTGTGGTTTAAATACATATGAAAACTTCAAAGTCTAACAGGTTTCGTACAATGTCTCAGATTATCCCTATCTGTTAGTTAAGAGGAGACTAAACCTATTTTTAAAGTACCCGTGTGCAAAAAAGAAAAGACAAAAAAATTGGTCGGAAAGAGGGGCGGGGGGGGGGGGGGGGAACAAAAACAAACCATAATCAAAACAGAAATATTGCTTTGATAATTATTACCTCGACATCATCAACGTGTGCGGTCACCGTTCGCATTCTCAGTAGATGACCAGAATCGCAAATAAGGTCAATGTTATTTTCCTACACAAACACTTCAGTTTTTTTTTTTTGTGTGTCTACATCTTAACCTGCTCAGTTCGTGGCGATTGAACTAGCCCTTTTGCCCCAAATCCTCAGGTTCAACATACCCCCCCCCCCCTTCCCCCTTTCTCCCCTCTTCCGGTCATAACACACCCTAAAATGTAGTAATAGGGTGTAAGCAATTTCTGGTGTCGGTTCTGTGGCTAAGTCGATATGAACGCTCCGTAATGCCGGGTTCGATCCAGCTGCGGGTCATGCGCCTTGTGTTAGTTTAGACAGTGGTATCAAGAAAGCTGACAGTCCAGGGGCTGTTGGGGTTGGTTCTGCAACGTCCTGTAAAGGATACGCAACTAACCTAACCTTTCTTTGCCCTTGTCCCCGCCTCCTCTTCACTTCCCCCTCCACCTCCTCTTGCTGGCTGATGATAAACAGTGAAAGTAAAGTGTTACCGATAACTGCCGAGTGGTACCAGATGCCATAAGGGAAGCGATAACTGATTTATGTCGAATTAAGTCAACAGCCGACATCAAATGACTCGGAACATTTACGTCCTCATCTTAAGCAGCCAGAGGAGAGTTCCAGTCCGGACAATGTCCGTGGTAGTTTAATTATATGTCCATCTTGTCTTTTCTCTGAGTGCAGAGCGTCGGCTAGACCCCCTTGGCATCTCAGCGCCGAACCCTTCTCTCCGCCCGTAATGATCTATTTGCCCTTCAATTGCTCCCAAAGAGCCTTAACCACATCTTGCTTGGTATGCACCACATGACAACCCAGTATAAAGCACCAGCCAGTGTGTCTGCTTGTTCTTTTTCAAACACATCCGCACATCTTGTTATGCATCACATGACAACCCAGTAAAAAGCACCTGCCAGTAAATCTGCTTGTTCTTTTTCTAGCACCGTTCATATGTAAAGAACCAACTTGATACATGGGAAGAAGAAACTGTTTATATGGGAATAATCAACTTGGTATGAGGGAAGAAGAAAATGTTTATGTAGAAAGAATGCTTTATTGGGGGTGGAATGGATGGAGGGGGACTCTGTATGTGGGAATAACAACTTAACGCTGTTAAGCTATATGAAGAAAACAAACTGGATATATAGGAAGAAGAAATTGTATGTGGGAAGAAAAACAACTTCATAAGAAGGGTGAAATCTGTATGTTGGAAGCAAAACGTTAAATGTGGAGGAGAAACTTTAATATATGGGAAGAAAAAACTAAATGTTGCAAGAAAGAACTCGAAAGGCATAACAAAAATGTTTTATGTGGGGAAAAAGTGAACTTAATACATGAAAAAGAAAAATGAAAAGTCATAAAGAAGATTAATAGAAGAAATATAATTGACAATTTATGTGTTTGATTATTACACCATTTTTAAACATTACAGGTATATTTCGTAAAATACATCACTAATTGTCAATGAGGTGACAAATCGTCAAAAAGATAGTAAACAAATATTTTGAAGGGTAAAACATAACTATATCACTGAACTTTAAGTACATCTGTGAGTACATAGTTTTCACTCAGTATATATATATATATAGAAACACACGCATTTTGGAGCGAAATATTACGATAAATGAATTAGCAAAGGAATATGCTAATGATAATATACACAAAACAGCATTTACAAAAAAAAAAAAAAAAAAAATTCACACTAACGAGACATGGTTTATCACCTGATGAAAATAAGAACGGTATAATTTATATCCTATAGGGGATTAACAGGACAATGATTTATCACCGAATTATAAAAAAAAAACGAACATGGTATTTACCATATCCCATAGTAAAGGAAATGTTTTAAAACTAATTTTTCATCGAACGATTATAGAACCAGTTTTCAATTATTGTGCTCTGAATGAGTAGACAAAAGCTTCAAACATTTGGATATGACATTCTGGTTAAACAAAAGAGGGCATCAAAACATGTTTTCATAATTTAAGTCAGAAATATTTTAAGTTAGCTACATTTTGTAACTTATATTTAAGACACACATGTATAGGAAGTCTCAACTACATAAGGAAAATACCAACATACAGTAGCATGTTTATTGCAAACATTGTAGGAATATTTTTGCCTATCAAAAGTTATGTATATCTATAGTTAGGACATTTTGTTTTAATTATTACTATAAATATGTATACTTAAAATATTTAAGTGTAAATAAATTTTCCCTTTTTTGCGCATTCCAATCCTGCCACTTTGATATAACCTGGATAAGCAGTCAGAAAACATGTATTGTCACAAAATATCGCCAAACAACATTTAAAATTAATTTTATTCCATATAATAGTTTTTGTTTCGCCTAAATCTGCTGTGGCATCGAATTTACACCAAAAAGGCGGTTGACGTCAGCGACTCTTGCCATAGCTCCATGACGTATCCAGAATCATCGCAGCAACCACGTGTTTCCTAGAGCGCCTTTATTTATTACTGAAAGCACAACAATGACTTCATTCCAAGGCGATTTTTCACAATGGTACGATGGACATCGTCTCCTTGGATGACCCTGTTGTGCCAGATGCATCAATACGAGAAAACGTTAACATAAGCTACGAAAATGAAGCTCTAGAGTTACAAACGGGAGACGAGATTATACATGGCTACAAGATCACTTGCTCACAGAGCAGTATTGAATACGACAAATCCGGAGACAGCAAACGGCGTGGAACAAGGCCTCGTTCAAAATCATTTCTAGAAGAACCCTTACGCTCACAGGCTGCATTATTTATGCAACGGAAACCAGGGAGCAAAGGACCTAGTTCAACTTACGGCTCTCACGGTGACGGTATTTGTCTTTGGCCCTCTTGGGACATCAACAAAGGGTAATAAAATAAACATTAGGTCACACCCACGTTCATCCTACCGAAGGTAATGTCGTAAGTAACTTATTAATAAGAAGGTGCAATTTTCCCAAAGATCTTTTTAAAAAATAGTTTTTTCATTCATTTTTTTTTTTAAATATTGTCAGACTACAAACATTGTTAAAACAAAACATTTCTTTTTCAAACTTTATTTGTTACCTACATGAGGTAGATAATCATAGAAGACAGTTAAGTAATCTACAGAACTAAATATTTAATTGTCACAGATATTCTGATGGCTAGATAAGTGAAACATGTTGCTCATTACCTATGCATTTTTTCAGTATTTTATAACCAACAATTTTAATCCATAATTTAAAAAAAAAAAAAAAAAAAAAACAACACGGAAGCAGAACAGTATTATTTGTAACTGAGAAATACATAGAGAAATGATGCATCTGGGTCATCACTCTACGAATACTCACTAGCTGAACATCAGCACATTTTGTAAATAATATTAATAATTATTAAAATATACAGGGTAATAATATATAAAGACCGAAACAAAATTACTTCGGTACCTGATATAGTCTGCCGTGACTTGTTCATATTTTGTTATACTTTCGATTTACCAAATCAAATACAGTAGTTGCTAAGCAAGGCATATATATTTTCATACTGTTTGTTAAATGACATTTATTTTCTACTTAGTTTCCATATATATATATATACGAAGCATATTACATATATAATATAAATCCAAAATGATACTAATCACTAGCATCGTATCAACATTGGTCGTTAAAGCAAACAGTCGGCCTTATTCTACTCTGGTGTTATAATGTTGTGATCATTGTTAAGGAAACGTTTTTCAGTTCAACAGTTTTGTTTTAGAGGACATCTGAATAATCAGACTGACAAAAGACGTCTTGATTGTGCAGTGAAAAGTATAATTTAATACGTGTTTAAGAAATAAAGCTGAAAATGTCCATTCTCAAGCATAAGAAAAGGGTGACTATAGAAAAGAAGAATTGCGATACATGTATTCGATTTCAGTGGACCTAAAGTAGTCGCCTAACACTTCAATTTAAGCTGGTTCTCACACACAGTCCAAGAGTCCGTTTATGTTTACATTCTATATTTTATCTATACGTTTGTTAATGTCTTTTGTTTATCGATAATCGAACTATATGTTTTTCCTTAATAATTTTTCTTCGATTCTATGGTTATTTGAATGCTTGTAACAATTGTAAAATACGCAGAAGTAAGGCAATAAGAATAATGAAGACAATTTGTTTAAAAAATTGTGAAATGGCCAACAATTAGGAAGATTAGGACGCCTGACAGATTGTTGTGCTGATCATCTATACAGTGAACTGTTTCTACCTTTCTTCGGAGTGATTTGTTTGTATTTTTTCAAACGAAGCTCCAGTCGTCAAATGGGTATACAAATAATATATAAACAAGTACAACACATGGTAGACTATTTTACCTGCTTTAGCATAAAAAACCAATTTAAATCTTTGCTTGTTTGATCCTACTTCACGCTGTCCCCCTATTGTTATTTAATACATTACGTTATGGCTCTCGACAATGCTCGTGGCATTGTCCACGAGTCATAAAGGGCACCTGCTAATTTGACGCAGATGTTTCTTCCAACAAGGTCTAAATTTAGCACAGTGGTGTGCAATTTACAGTAAGTAAATACTATTTTCCAATCGCCCTTAACACTAGCAATTCTAACATGATCGCATATTTCCAATACAACCCAGCTGAAATTATTTTTAAATATTAATTAGCATATATTACCATACTTTTAAAGATAAAATAATATATTTTACGGGTAACTGTATAGTATTAGTTGACCATTTATGGTCTACAACAGAAGGCTAGTTCTTTTGCTGATTGTGGAAATTCCCAAACACTAACAGAAGCGCAACATGACGTTGTACATATACATACGTCACCTATCATCACCCCTGCAGACTTACTTCCAGTGTAAAGCTAGTTTCAGGTCGGGTCCTGCCGTTGGAGGGCCTCAGATATGTAATGTCCGTTTTATCTGCCGTTGTTTAAATAGAATCAGTGATGTCCAGCTCAGATCTTTATCTGACTGTTTTGTCTCGTGGGAATGTTTGTAACGGCGCTTTTATGTGATTGCCAGATTTACTGGTAGTGAATCAAAAGAAAAAGCGACTGATCAGGAAAAGAAATTACAGGTACTGTCCGATTTTCTTTTTCTTTTTGAATTTAATATTATATTTACAGTATATATTATTTGCTAGCAACACTCTTGATGCTTTAACGGCAGCTACTCCTGCTACGGCTTCTACCACTAACGTGTCTGCTGCTGTAGATACCACAACACATTATTTAAAATCACTACTACTAGTATTCAAGGCTGATATTTCAAATATGCCTGTAACACTTACTACTTTTACTAGTATTTTCCCGATAAAAGACCGGATCTTATATTACATTTTGTTGTTGTTCCAAAAGGTGCTTAGGGTTTATTTTTAGGGTAGATCTTATTTTCTCTTCAAGGACAACGTTTACATTTAATTAAATACAACAATATATAATTATTCAAATACAGCAATCTACGTGTATTCTAATGCAGTCATGACATTTTGTTCTGGACCATATTTTAATTTGTCCGTCGTGAATTTCAGCAGATTAACGAAATCCGTTCGTCTGGCTGACGATATTAACTAGAGTATAAATTTGCTGTATCAAGAATATTCAAGGCGGGACCTTTTTCGGGTTAGGTTTTATTTTTGGAAAAATAAAGTATTATTGCTACCACCCCCACCCACTACTACCACTACCACTAGTACCACACTTAGTATTCATAGGAAAAGTAAAGTAAGGGTCCCTTTACCACGCCTTTAGGCTTATTTGGGATACTATAGGGAATATAGGGCTAGGCCTCTATTTTTATAGACCAATCCTCACTTGGTGTGACACGTGGTCAGCATCACGCCGCCCGCCTTTACTTTCCAATACTGAACCTACACTCAGTATTAGCAGGGCTATTTTTCTAGAAGGAAACAAAAAAGCTTCAGATACTCACCAAAAGAGATACAAGTACTGACCCCGAAATCCATGTTGAGCAAATCGTCAGGTCTGAGGACAATTAATTAAGCATACAAATAGAAGGCGTGTCTAGAGCATACTTAAGTCTTGACTACTAGAGGCACAACTATAAGCGCTGGTATTAGAGCGACTAGTAATATTACTTCCATTGTTGCTTTTGCTACTGTTGGTGTCTTTCACCAACAGCTTATGTCGCTTCGAGTAAGATTTTTTTCAGATCCTGTCGTTTGTACCTTTCCGTTCTATCTTTTATCTTTCTACTTCTTTCTACTTCTTTCTACTTCTTTCTATTAGTGCCGATCAATACACTTTCTGTTACTTGATTAATTACCTTTCCGCCGCGGTTTACGGTGGCTGAACTCTAAAAAGAAACATACTTTTCTGCCTAAGTTGTATAATATAAGGCAGCCATAGGAATAAACTCACAGGGAGCACGTACAGCAGGGATCTACCAGTCATCAGTAGAAGTTATCCTCGTCGACAAGTGTTTCGGCCCACGATTCTCCTAGACACTTTCGGAGGTGAGCCCACCTGAGTTCATGAAGCTCAGGGCTGGTACCCTGCTGCATGAATTTACCGGATGGTGCTTTTCTTTCGGATAGGGACAAGACGACTTGGTGATTTGCAGAAGGTACTGTGAGATAAGAAGTGGTTGCGGCAGCCTAATTAGAACAGTCAGCATGCCTGGACGACCGAACGACAAGCTTACGTTTTGTTTACCGGACACATGTTGGACTTTTGTTAGCAGGTGGCAGAGGAACACTGGCAGACAATTCGGACACGATGGACTTTCAAAGGGTGAGAAACCCTTTTCCACTAGAAACCCGGACCAGCTCACCGAGGCCCGTCCCCTACATTGTTGCGCTGCGTCCAAAGCCAGCTCGAGGCCCTTTCGGCTGCCTCGCCCAGTTTTTTAAGTGTTCGTTTCCGTTCATTACCGCGCAATCCTAGTTCTTTAACCACATTGTACAATGAAGTGGAGACGAGACCTCGCGCTCCCACTTCGACGGCAAAGACACGTACCGTGTACGCCTCGTCTCTCCTCAGACCGGCTGCTAAGTCACAATATTTATCGAGCTTATATGTGTGACTCTCGTCCATACGCGACTCATACGGGAACCATAAAGGAGCAGCTGGTCGAACGGTCAAGAAGGTTGGGCTCTGAGGTTGGAGACCCAGGTGTGAGAAATAAAATTCCTTGGGGCTGAGGGTGGCAAAGTGGTAGACTGATTCTTTGTATAACATATTTATTTTTAAACAAACGGATAAACAGAGTGTGATAGAAGTTTTGACGGAGGCTAAGATCTGCAAGAAAATGGTACAGGTTAGAACGGAATAGAATAGATCCCTAGCCTTAGGTAGAGTATGCATTTCATAATAAGATTGTCATGATGATAATTATGATGATAAAACTGGAAGTTATTCATCATTAAGGGTCATTTACAAGAAGAGGAAAAACTGGAACACGTTGTGAGAACTTGAAGGTTTTTGATGGAAAGAAAGGCGACTTCTTCTCCTCTTTCTGTAATTATTTTATCGAGGCATTAGGGGGAGCGGAGAAGGAGCGGGGGGGGGGGGGGTGTAGGGGTCTTCTGTATGTTCTTTCCAATGTGTTGTGTCAGTTGGTCTCTATTTCATTGAGGCTGTTCTTGATGCTATCGTTCTAATTTCTGTGCAGTCTTCCCCTTACTGTTTCCCTTGTATTTCTCCAGCCTGGCTCTCTGGGGCAGCTGGTACCAGTGCATTCAGGTCAGATGACCAAACCCTCTCATCTGCTGCTATCTAATAAATTAAATGACTGGTCTGATGTCTAGTTTTCTATTTAAAAAAAAAAAAAAATTTTTTTTTGTTGATTTTGTTTATCTTGTCTTGTAATTATGTCTCTTGTAATTATTTCGTCGTGTAATTTTCTTGTCTTGTAATTA